TTCAAAAGTTACGTCAATAGCATGATCGAAATCGCTGAAAAACAACTCAAAACAAAGTTGTTTACTACATTTAATTAATAAACAACAAAAATGAAATCTAACAACCTTTTACAGAAATATTTTATAACACATTTTTACATAGCTTAAATGCTAACATTGTGCGGTTTCTGCTTTGTCATACCAATGTTTTTTTTATGGCAGCACCTACTGTGTAATTTTTTCTTTCAATCTTTGTTTTTGTGGTGGCTTGTTTGTGAACTTTTTTTTGCATTATTTTGTGTTTTTCCTGTCTCGAGTATCGTAAAAAAGGTTATTAGAAAAACAGAAGTAGGTATTTCTGGATCTAGTGCGCGAAATTCGTTATCGAAAAGTGATTTTTTTTAATTAAGCAGACACGAGTTGCGAACAGGTTTTTTTCTACAAAAGTAAAACGTGTATTTCCATTAAAATCGTTTTTAAATAATATGGAACTGGATTAAAATATTTTTCCACGTCAAGAAATTTGTACAACTGTGGAAATAAAATGGTAGTTAATACTTATTTTGCAGTGCCTTTTGGCTCGTTTCTAAGCATTACCCCATCTAATTTGTCAAATGGGGAAATATCAAATGGTTTCCCTTCTGCAATTTAAAGAGTAATATGAACATTGGAAAACGTCTTTCGGATTCTAGATAATTTACTTCATATGGGGAATTTCATATTCGAAAAAAATAGTTCGAAACCATCCTAAGAAATCGTAAGGTGTTAATTAATTCGTTAATAAATTGATAAATTAATAAAATAATAAAAAATTAATAAATATCGTCATTTTCACTATTTATTTCGGGTGCTTCTGCCGTGAGGCAGATGAATCGATGACATAAAAGGTAAAGGTAAATCTTTTAGAGTCATTTAAGCTTTGAAGAAGCCAACGGCAAAAGAAACGGCAAAAAACCGAATCGTAAGCAAATCGCTTTAAGAAGTTGCGTTTTTCACACTTTACTCGCATTTCAGCGTCGTTGACCTGCGTCGTTCTACGCGACATAAAAGCTGTTTCCGAAGTGCTTTATACAGAGTGGTTAGTAAGTGGAGAAATTTAAATTTTTGCTTCTTTTTTCGGGAAAATAACTTCTACTAGATTGACGTTGTCTTTCAGTTGTTAAGAAAAAATTTGCCACTGTGTGTAACTAATAAATAATCGATCTGTTATGTGATTTACAAATATTTTCTAAAGGTTTTTTTGCAGCACATATCCCGCTTTTTTCACTAGATAAACATAGAGGTCAGTTCTGCGACTTTTACCAACTTGTTACTGATTGTTTGATGAACGACGCTTTCAAATTATGTAGAATAAGTAATATTAAGTACAGGCCCGAAAATTGAACCCTGGAGAACACCGCAAGACATAAGTTTCGCACGTTATGCGCGACTATTGTGCGCGATGAGCGATAAGTGATAAGGTGATAATGAAAATTACCTAAAATGGCAATTAAAAAGAATGAACGAGTTTGTCAAAGGCTTTGCAATAGTTTAACGGAACCAATATGCTTAATTGACTACGTTCTGCAGCACCAAAAATATCGTCGGTTACTTTTAACGAGGCAATTGAACAACGTACTCTCTTCTCTTGATTAACCAGCTTTTGCGCTGAGAAGTATTTTTTTTTGGATAATATTTTAGCGTCCGATGGCTCCAATGACAGCAATTTTCAGGCTCCTTACAAAACATTAGAGGCCTAACAACAAAAACAGTCAACTTCTTTCAATGTGTAGTGTCGATGACTGTGTTTCAATAACAGAGTTTTGGTCGAGACCAGATATTAAGCTGGGTAAATGTTTTTTATTGGATTGAACAAAAGCAAAGAACGGGCGCACAGTGACTGGAAAAATAACGAACAAATAGTTCATTAAGTTTTTTCGATTATAAGAAAGACCGTTAAAATAAGTGTAGTATTAGTCAAGATTATACAACATTGCTGTAACAGAAAAAATATTAAGCAAGATACAAAAAATTGTTGGTCGTTTATTCGCAACAAAAAACCACAAAAAGTTTGCCACAAAAATGATCCTAAACACCTTACATGCTTTGAATAACCATAATCATGGTATTTGTGAACTTTTTTCAAGCGTCTTTGAGTCATCTGGCACCCCTTCATTAATGAAATCAATTTCATCCCAGGTATGTATTATTGCTGTCATATATTTTGAAATAAAATGTAAAGAAATCTGTATGCTCCATTAATACCCAAAAGGAACCTGGGCCAGACGGTTTTCCTTCGATATTTTTAAAATCATGCCCCTATCTCTGTGAGCCCATTTTTTTGCTATACGATCGATTTCTCTTATTGTTTGCCATTTTCCTGTATAATGTTGGCCAGTGCTTTTTACATAGTATTTACTCCTTGTAAGCAGATGATCTAAAAATTGATGATGAAAAAAAAAATTCGACCGAAGACTACGTCTTGTTGCAGAGAGATTTGTCAAATTTTGAAGAATATGGTTCTCTGAACAGATTGTTTGTTAACCTAGGTGACTACAAACTGAACTTTTGAGATGCACGTAAAAAATATTTTTCAAAAGGGTAGGAATCTTGGATTTATTTTACGGGTGACGAATACTTTTCTACAGTCTCGTCAGACCCGTGTCGAACGGCTGGAAAGTGTACAACGAAAATTTGCAAATGCTACAAACTATAGATTTAACAGGCAGAGACATTTGTTTAGTTATAGTGAAAACCTTCAAGTCTATTGTATGCAGCCTTCGGAAACTCGTAGAACAAAGTTTGATGCTTTATTTTTCTATAAAGTAAACAATTTGATTCGATCTCTTTTCGTTTTGGAAAAAATGTACTTGAAAATGTATTTGAAACAGGCAAACGTTCGCTTTATCCAGATATCTTCAAACTACTCTTCTTAGTACTCCAATTATCGGATGTACCCGTACTTATAACAGGGTAGAAAACGAGTTTCTGAATCTTGACCTATTTGCTCTTTATTATTTATTAGTTCTTCATTTGATTTAACTTGTAAAAAATAATTTTAACTAGTTCACTAAGTTTTTTTTTGTGTTTTCCTTTTAACGGACAGCTGCGTTTCTCTGTAGGAAAGTCTTGTTTATAAATAGTAAATTAGTAAATTAGTTTTTGGTACTGGAACAAAATATGGAAGTTTCGATACAAAAATTTACTAGTCGGTATAATTGTAAGACAACAACGGAGTAACATCCCAATTCCAATTTTGCCATCCTTCGGCTATATAGAAAAAGAGTTGACTTGATTTCCTTTAAAGTACCTAGTTTAAAATTGAATTTTATATTATTTTCCTTGTTATTCGAAGAATAAAAATTTTAAAATTTTAAACCTCTTGTTATTCGCATCAATCTTCGATTCCAAATAAATCCCCTTCTCTCCGTCGCGGGCAGCCACAACATAATTACACAGTTGCTTGTAATATTCTCTGTTATGATCTGTCCGGTTTCTTTTCTATCTTATTATAGCTTTATCTCTCAATTTCATAATTTATTACAGGTATTAAAAAGTATTTTGTTCAAATAAAAAAAGGAGGCGGTGCTAAGGTCTCTTATAAAGCGGCCACCATCAAAGATCCTGAAATTCCAATATGTACTAAAAACTGACTTAAGTTTGGGCAATATATAACTTAAAGGTACGCTTGATTAGTTTATTAATTAATTACTATTTGAGCACTGAATTACATCTAGCAAGTAAACACTCCGTTTAGTTGGTTCATCTATGATTTGCTCCAATAATCAGCAAGAAACGATCAGTATATATTAAATCGGAATCTAACATGCTCAAATCGCCTAGACCAACCAATTATATAAAAATATAATGGTTGGCTATTTCTACCCTAAACTAACCATTTTTTTTATTTTCTGTGTAAACTATAAGTCGTCCATTTTTCGTAATGATGAGGAATAACTGAAATAAAACCGTAGGTTCAAAATTTTGAGTTTATTCCTTAGTTTTAGTCAAAATGCGAAAGAAATCAATTTCAAAAATCACATATTTATTTATTAAATGGTGTTATTATCCCGGTCTACGTCACTGCTACAGTTGACATTTAATTAATTCTGGAGATATGCGCTATTGGGTGTATCGCGGTTGCCTACTTGTAGATAATATACCCGCCGAGCGTGGGCGGCAAATTGTATACACACTGCATTTTGCGTAGTTTAAGGACTACTTTTTACCGAGAAATAACTTACTTACCAAAAAAAAAACTATTTTCAGTTTTCATAACTGTCGGTAATACTGATCGTTTGAGGAGCGCTTAGCACAAAAATCTGCATGCCAAGCCACGAGCAAATGCCTCGATTTCAACTGTACTTGTGGTCTTCTTTCTATATGCAACGATTTGTTATGTCATTTTATAGGGTGTCCCGAAAAAAAATCGGAATATCTACCCCAGAATTATTTTCGCAAATTTGTGCAGAGTTTTAGAGTTCACGTCGTCAAAATATCTAAAAAATTGCAAACTTTGTTTTTACCTATTATGATATTAGTATTATCACAAATTGCCTATTAAAATTTACGTATTAAATTCCTATTAATTGCCTTTTAACTAGCAAATTAATTATGCTGAACCAGCAAGAGGCCCGCGAAAACGTTCTGGCAAAAGTTAAACAACAATTATTTTTTCCCAGAGTTACCACAAATCCATTATCTTGTCGAATTTTCGTAATTTCTTCTTTTCCTTTTGATCGATAATTCATAGTATCAAGGTGGTCACCAGGGCCTTTTAGTAGATAAACAATTGAAAATTTGCTTTTTAATAGGTTAATGTTGAAATTAATATTTTAATTCGCATTTTTGAAGGTTTCTTCTATTAATGTTTTGCACGTTATGCAAAATTGTGTAAAGAAATATTTGTTTACTCTTTTTGCGACTACGTGTCGCGTTTGTCGACCACTTCGAACTTGAGCTCCAAAAAAAAAAATACGAAGACGATTGATGCATATAATGTGACAATCACTTGAATGAAAATCGTGAGAGTTATTGAAACGGGAAAAAATGTGATAACACAATTTTGTTATTCCATTAAAATGTATAACTACGTTTTTTTCTCCTTAAAAATGATTCCCAAATTTTATAAATTGATGCACTCTATAAATTAAATGTTATTCGGGTATTCAATGTTTTATAGCAAGGAATTCGTTTCCCGAGCATCATTTGTTTGATACACATCCCGGAGCGTCTATTTAGAGGATGTTTTGCAATCGTTGTTTTGGCATATCAACGTGTTTCTGCGGCAGTCGTCACAATAAACCCATCGGCAGTTCGTTAAGTCGGTCTAAAACAGAAGCAGAGAATTAATTGTTTCCAGCGAGCGTCTAATTTCGTATGTATCTGAAGTAAATTACGCCGCAAATGTCATCACGACACGAAGAAACTCGGAGGACAAAAGTTAAATTAAAATTGGAATCTCCCGATCTAAGAGTTTCCTCTGAAAAAAATTGGCCCAAGCACATATTAATCGGAAAAAATAAGAAAGAACAAAACAAAATTACCAAATTGTTTATTAACTATATAGACATATAATATTAATAATTGTATTATAAATTAGTGTCATTTGTCGTTACACTAAAATGGGATGGCGCTACTTTCCTTCAAATTTCAGTTTATAAAACAACCAAGTACTTCGACCATAATTATGTATTATATTAAATGATATTTCACAATAAACTGCGTGACTGGCTTTTTCTGAAGATTATCTGCATGGATAAGATGAGTTTTAAAAAAGGCTGATCATCATTTGATTAATTGAAAGCTCGAAGACTGTGTCCGGACTCTACTAATTTCCACGCGGACTTCATTCGAAACGGCTAACAAAACCTAATTCTAATGCTAAATATTTCGTGTTTGCCACGAGCCTAAAAACAACATGACAAATAAAAAACGTACGAAAAACCTGTACAAAAATAGATTTATCCAGTTTTTTAAAGCCGCACGTACATATGTTAACGGGATTTATTTTTTGTGTAGGTACATCTGTATGGCTGTGGCTGCTCACGTTGAAAAACATTCGGCGAGGGTGCTGAAAAAATCAAAACAACTTGTATTATATCTCTGCTACCGGTGCTTCAATTTTAAACTAAAGGTGAAATTATATATTTTCGCACGTGTCTTTATCAAATGTTACATTTGATTAAGACACGGCGTTGTCGAAACAATTGTCATGTGAAAAAAAAATGCACGGCTTTTTATTTTTATTGGGGTTTCTATTGTTTTATGATTACACTCACTCATAAATTAAAATTTTTTAATTTGTTGTTAATAACAAACCCAACAGACCGTTTAAATTTAAATTAAAATTAAAAAAAAATTTTTGAATCTTGACCGCAGAATACGATGAAGTTGTGATGTTTATTTATATTCGACATGTTAATTCCTACATTAATTAGTCCACCTCAAGTTTTTATTGAGTTTCATATGTCAGTTTCGGCGCCCGAAATGGTAATAAGGTTTTCATGGATATAAAAATTATGCCTTACTTGGTTTAACTTAATGAGTACATATTTCTTTAAATTTGATTTATGGGTTTGACTTAGTTAGACTATATTACCTAATGAGAACATATTTCTTTCAACATGGAGCGGGCATTTTTAAGCACTGAGGTGAAAATCTGCAATATAAGAAACTTATGAACACTATTAAATTGGAATTCCTATAAAATATAATAGGCGGTGGAAAAAATTGAGAGATATATTTGACAATCGCGATGACAACGGACAGTCCGAGTCTCAAATATGTTTTTTACCTTCTGGTCGCGTCCACATGAATAAGTAATTCGGAAATAGTCATTGGGCGGTGTAAATAATACCCATGTGCGTTTAAAAATACATGAAATCCTAATACCAAGCCAGTTCAATGACTTTAAAATACTTTGCCGGCGACTTTTCAATCACTCGGAATAGTAAATTCCACTCGGTTCGTCAATTTCGTATTCGACTACCGACGTTGTTATTTGCGGACATCTGAATCATCCGTGGTCGTAGGTAATATTTAATTCTGAGTATCGATTAAAAATCGGACTGGAAAATGCTGGTCCTTATCTATCGGCTCTTCTCAGTTCAGGGTCGAAACAAAGATTTTGTTTTCCTCGATGTCGGGGACTTTGTTAATTGCGTCTTTAAATTGAATAACAGTCAGTAACGGATTTAATAATCTCTTCTTAGAACTGGTTAATGTCGAAGTCATATTCATTAGCAAGTAACACCCTGATTTGGGTTCGTTTATTTCCGAGAAAGGTTGCAACTTATTTTTTTTTGACATTCCAATATTTGGTCAATAAAACATTATAATTTCCGTAAATTAATTCGCTACCGATCCGTTTTCTACTGGGTATATTTAATTTTATGCATGAAGAAGCCTATACTAACATTGAATATAACGAGTACTTTGTAACTTTACGACCACAACATTTGGGTTTTATGTGCGCGTTAAAATGGCCGCATATACGTATACACATTGTATTACAATGTTAGATGTTACACAACTTGCTCGAAAACTGTAAAGCGAAGAGTATTTTTAGACAAATGTTCGATTCCAATACTGGTGATAAAGAAATATGCAACTTTGCATAAAGTAATTTATTCCATGATGATATATTTGCATGTACGCCTTTTATTGGCAAAATGGACGTCTCAAACTCAAGAAAACTACAATTCTGAAACAAAACGGGTCAGATGCAACGTTATCACAGTTCATTCATTTTTCATTTTCGTTTGATTACATTTCATGGTTTATGGGTACCTTTTTGCGAAACAACGCGAATACATTCACTGACATAACCACCAGGACCGACAAAAAATATCTCCGAAAACATCCGACAGCTTCCAAACCCGTGCGCTAATATCCCGGAAATGTCCGAAGTGGCTCGGATCCGTGGGAAACGAAACTGACGTCGTAAAATGACAGTTTCCGCACACTAGATCGGTGTATGATTACGAAGAATGTTACAAAAAAGAGTAGAAAAAAAATCCTAAAATTTTCTTTTTTCTGGTGTAATTGTTTCTTTAATAATTTCTTCCGATTGGTTTATCGTTACATTTTATCTTCTTTTTTACAATATCAGTAGTTAATTATTTCATTTTCCCATCTTTGCAGATTTTTATGGTGCTAATTTTATTAGTTATTTCTATTTAAATTGTTTAGTAATGTATACATTTTAAGAAAATGGAGCCAAAAAATTACTTCAAATTTAAAAAAGCATTATAAGTTACTAGCACAGTTAAGCTTAGCAAGCACCACCAATAGACCACTATTCAATGGAGTAAAATACGATATCAAAGTTTCAGAGGTCTGCAACTTGTTTGAGTTAGAAATGTTTTAACATATCTGGTCTCTCTAGCTCAACATAAGGCATTTGGCATATTGATATAAATTTTCCTTAAACTTTTAATAATAATAATAATTGCTTCTTATATTAAAAAAAGAAGAAGATTCAATTTATGTTCATTATAATTGATGTCACTGATTTTGATTAGTTGGTTGTTTTAGTTTCTACTCTTGACATTTCTTCTTTACTACGACAGTTGTACTTTTAATTTTATTTTAAGTTTTTAAGTAAATAATAAATAAAAGAAAAAATAATGCGTTGAAGAAGGCCCAAATGTCATAAAATATGCAAATTTAAAAATTAAATTATTAATTCAAATAACCTTGCGTCGCACCATAAAAATTAATATATTCCTGTCATTTAGATACGGAGAATGTCTTTATATACATTTGGTTAAAATGTACAGGTTCAAAACAACAATATTTTGCCCGTCGAATCTTCATGTTAATTTGAACTTCGATATTTGTCTATCTGTATCCACCTCGATGATTTTATTCAGGTTTTTATTTTTCCCTGCAAATATTAATTTTAAAATGGTCGTATTTTTTACGGGATTTAGATCTACGAACGTAATCGGTGATACTATTTTAATGTAGCAATTTATTTGCTTATCAATTAAAATTAAAAACAATAGTACGACTTGGACGCAAATAATATGAAAGGACAAGAATAGATGCTTGACGAATAAACAATGGACCAATAACTTTGCTAGACTAGACAAGTCATTTTCCCACTTAGTTTGTTATGTTTTTTCCGCCTTTAATTAAATGAAGTAAAATCGGCGACCACTGACATTTCTCGTTCGCATCGGACAGTTCACGGTGCAACATTTGCATATTCCGCCCGATGCCGCTTAATATTTCCAGAACGTTTCAAGCCGAATATAGAGATAATGTTTTGGCTATTCACCACGTCCAGGTTGCAGTCATTGTTTAGTTAACGTTTAAGTATTTGTTTTTTTGCAAACAACTGAAACATGAAAATGCGAAAGGGGGTATGTGCCAAAATTATATTTTTGAGATAATCAACAAAAAATTGTTAAATTAACACCAACGGTTATAATTACGGTAGGCCCATATTCCTTTTCTCGGGACATGCGGCGGGCGTGAACTACAATTCTAACACAAAATGTTAATATGTCAAAAAAATGGCATATACCTCTATGACATTTCCGCCCTTCAATTGTTTTATTTAGTTTTATGGCATAATTAAATGCAAAACTCAAACAGGAATGTCTCAGGCAAGAGGTAACCAATTGCCTACTACTGGATAACCTGAAGACTTTGGAAATGAAAAGTCCTGAAAATGCACAATAAATATTGACATTCATTTTGAAATCACCCTGTATTTCGATAAAAATTTTGGGATAGCGTACGGATTTGTTATGCATATTTCTCCATTTTTAAGAATTTGTTTACCTAACGAGAATTTATTTTTGTAAACCAAGCCTGAATTCGACAGGAGTTTGTTTGCCGCCACAGCATAAAATATGGTTGTCTGATGATTGTTTGCATGACTAAATCATAGGAAAAATAATTGAAACAATATTTTGGTTTCGGTTTTCATTGTTTGGATAAAGAACTTGACATAAACAAACCCACCTAAAAAACTTCCCCTTCAAAGTTTTTTAATTGGCAATGTTATTTCGAAGCAAGGTTTACGGCAAAGGATCCGAGTGGAAATAAATCATCAAAGAACAGTTTTAGCATGGTCGAAATCAAACAGCGTTTTCATTACTTTCCTTAGCCAATTATTTCTTCTTCGAAAACGAAGGATTGCTCCTTTTACGTAATTAAAATACTTGGCCGATTAAAGTTCGCTTTAAGGTCAGTGGGTACCAAAAGCGGCTAATAAATTGTTTATCATGTTTTCATATATTCAGCATTTTTACCTGTAATCGTGATAAACGCGGAATATCTGTCTCAAACGCCAACGAAGTTTTGATTTATTTCCACCGCACGCAGCAGTAAATCTATCCCCATCTGTGTTTTGCAAAGGAGGCTACAGGCTACATTCTGTAAAAAAACTCGCATTAATGGCAGCAGCTAACTAAAAAACATTTTCGGAGGAGCCTCGAATTTTATGTAATGTATATACATAATTATCTACCCCCCTTGTTTTTCCTTCCATGCTGGCTAAAAACAATTTACTTGAGATTTTAAATTTTATTGCTCTCAAAATTGTTTACGCCGTGGCGTTTCATTTTTCGCCCGCTGTTTGAGTTTTTGAATTGTTGTTTTTATACCCAGGGTGAGCCGAAAAAATGAGTCGACCCGTTAATGATTACTTATTGTTAGAGATACTTAAAAAAAAAATTAAATTTTGTTTCAGGAAAATTTGTTCTTTGCTTTTGTCAATTTATTACCACAGCCTACTTAATTGTGTAATTGTGTAATTGTGATTACACGTATATATTGTGAATTTATTTGCAACAGATTAATATTTATAGCCATTAAAAGATGATTTTGTAATATTAAAGTAGCAATTTATATAACGCTTTTATATATGCTTTTCTTCGTTCCACATAGTCGATCAATGGTTAGGAAATATAAAACAATAGTAAAAGAAAAGAAGCGTTAATCTCGACGTTAATACTAATAAAACTATGCAGCAATTTTTGTACGTGCGTTATAGAAAATGGTTTCGGTCAGGGATAAAAGATACGCGAAAAATCAATTTCTGAATCCGCCGTAGGATAATTGAAACCAGGAAAAAATTTTAACCAGCTATTTTTCCTAAATCGAAGCCTATATCTAAATTAAAAAAGGATTTACATTTTCAGACTGTGGCCGTAGTAAATGGGAAAAATAAAGCACCACGATTTAGATGATATACTTTTTTTATTAAAGGTAGTAGTGGAAAAATGTTCAAGCAATAATACCCTACTTGGCCTCTAAAAAGGAAGAAACCGTTGTATACGAGAATTGTCAAAAATTTGAATTTAACTCTGAATAAAGTTCCATTTTGTGACCAAATTGGAAGTTCTGTTATTATTCATATTTTTGAAAGTTAGATCCATATGGTACTTTTTTAGTATTAATTGCACAAGAAAAAGTTGCTCTGTTTGAATTGTTCGACGCTACAATAAAACCAACAGATATTACATTTCGTAAACCGTTACGAGGTTAGCTGAAAAAAATTGTGATAAATTCGCATTACAAATCATTGATAATTATACCAAAACTTAATTTAATTTAATTAATTTAAACGGCTATCTAAATGTAGTTTTCAACTCTTACCAAATGTTGAACTGAGGTGGCTTTTACTTGATGAAAATCCATTTGTCAAAATAAATAAGAACTAAAAGTTCAGATTTTCACGAAATTATATATTATGACATGACAATTATTTCGACAACATCGTGCCTTTATCAAATGTAATATTTACAAACCACCTGCTACTATATATACCGAAAAATGACCATAAAACCTTAATTAATGTTGTTGTGAGAATTTAAGTTCAATAAATGAGAGGTATTTAAATCTAATTGATCGTTAAGCAATACATTTGAACGTGTCATTTTCTAGTTTTTGTGGCTGTATGTAAAATATCAAAATGTGTTTTTCTGTGTTTAAGTGTGTAGTATAATTAGAATCTAAACTATTGTTTTTAAACGCTCTTTTATGTTCGTTAATGCGTTTCTTGAAGGATCTGTTTGTCCAATATAAATTTTAGGACAAGATCCACATTTCAACCTGTAGACACCTGATTTTTGGAATTTTGGACATTTCGTTTTATTGTTTTTTAAATATTTTCCTATTGTGTTGTTAGTTCTGAAAGCTATTTTTAAACCACATTTTGACAAATGTTTTGAAACTTTCTCACTAGGTTCTCCTATGTATGTAATTGTTTTAAATTGTTCGTGTTCTGTATTAGGTTTCGGATAAATAGAGCTCACTGTTGTCTGGATTTGTTTTTTATTTATTTAATTTTATCTATAAAGGACTGATTGTAGCCGTTGTTTTGATATTAAGTTCTTTGTTGTAATTTTCTGTTGAGAGTGGCGTATTAAGAAGTCTGTGTATAAAAGAGTTAAATGTGTGTATAAGGGTGATTTGAGCTGTTATGTATGACTGTTTTTGTCAAACAGTTCTTAAATTTTCTTCTCATTGTTTTCAGACAACCTGTATTTTCTTTACCCAGTAGTACACATAAAGCACAATGGCTTAAAAAGCAGATCAGCCGAGTAATTGAAAAAAGCATAGAAACTTCCACACAAATGAAAATGTTTCTCATTAAGAATAGCCATAGGAAAAATTTAACTTATAATGAATGAATATATATGAAAGGCAAACACTGAGTGATCCCAATTTCTGTTTATGTAGAAACGATCGGTCTTCATTGAATCGGTCGATCAGTCAATCGGTGAAACTGCGAATAATATTCACCTTAAACTCTCCAATTTTGATGATGATCCAATGATCAGGATATTATCATGATTGATAATAACATTGTGAGGTCCAGTTCTACCCAAGCAAAAGAAGGCGCTAAAAGTGCAGAAGTCTTTTCGATAAAAAAAAAACAAAAATCATGAAAATTGACAAAACTCATTTTTATCAACATTTATTTTTTGGACCCTTTGATTAACTTACTTAGTTTTAAAACTAATACTAATGAAAATTGTGAAAATGACCAGCAGCTTATCAGTTTACAAATCTCCTGGGTGTCTCCAGCATCCGGATGACTCGCGAAACGTCAGCAAGTTCGATTTATCAACAAGCTTTTTTTTGAAAAATTCATTTCACATTCTGTTACAAAAGCCTTTTTTTAATATTTAACACCTCTTCGGCATTTTAGGATCTACGTTTATATAACATTTTTTCCTTGTTCCTCCAGCCGGTTGGCGCATATATTTTTTTGAAACACTTTCCATGACGTACTTTTAGCTAATTTAAGAGTGTTGTTTAGTAATTCGCGCATCTTTCTTGGAAGCAAAGGTGAATATGAAGTAATTTGGGTGGAAGCCGCAATCTTACCACTTTAATTTACGTCTAAATATATACATTAAATCTAGTTTATACCTGGATATATGCCAATAGATTTCTGGACCAACTTGAACGATTTGCATTTTCCTGATAAATCTTCTATTTTAGATCAACAGAAATATAATGAATTTGGACGATTATTTTGATACATAATTTGGTAAAAACCGTAATTCTGTCGCAGCACAAAACGCGAGGATTTTTTTAGGGTCACAACTTATTCCAAAACTAATTACTTTAATTAAATTTTGTGTCGGTTGCTTCTTCCTAATTTGTCTGAAAGCTTTTTCTTCCCGATAATTCTTACGATTTTTTGTATAATATATATATCGCTCTCAGTAAATCTGCTCGTGTGTTCAGCTAATGACTTAAAATTAGACAAACTTGTAATTGTACGAAAACTGACAGATGTTCGTCTGTCTCCGGTTTCTACAAATTACTTGCGTTGACTGTGTTGTTTATTACTTGTCACGATGTCATGCGAGATGATCCCTATCAAAATCTTAGAAAAATTCTGTTAATCACCATTGTTTTGATTGTTTCGAAATACGTCATACTAGATGGAACCAATTTGCCTTCACGTGCTCCATAATGATTTGTTTTGTAGATTTCGCAGCAAAAAAATGTATATGTAATGTTTTTAAAATTGTGGTGCACACTTAAAATTTTATGGTGTGCTGACGTCAAAACAGCTCAGTAGTTATCGCCAATGAAAAGCGACGTACTAAAAGAAATGTCACGTAAAATCATGCAATTTCATTGTCACGTTCGTTTCTAACATTAGCGTATCAAATGTTTAATGTTTTTCCGCAGCAAAAAAATATAGAATACGTGATTATACGACCAACAACGACATACCCTAAAAAATCTGCAATAGCTTAAAAAAAAATCGTTCTCACCTTACTAATAAACATCACCAGACTTGTTATTTGTTTTATCAAAAATGTTTTAGGTCTATAGAAAATTTTTGACTAATAAAAGTCCGGCAAATAAGGATCTATGGACTTTTTTTTCTCTCAATGCTATTTTTAACTATTGAAATTTTGACCTATCGATTATTCAAAACGTTTGCGATTTCTAAAACTTATCGTTATGTTAGTACACACGGATAATTACGCTTCGATGTTGTTGTTCGTTGGTACGTTTTGGCTTTTCATCGAATTTCATACAGCATCGTAAAAATTGATGGAAGTGCGTACTTACTGCTGTCCTTGGGACCTGCGCAAACTGTGGCAAGTATGCCATAAAACGCTTCCAATGAGCATCCCTGCCCTTGCCGCTCCCAAGCATTGAAGCGTAACTTGGAAACCAATGTCAACGATAGAGATTTGTCGGGATACAACTGCAGAACTGTGCATCGCGAAATAGCTGCATCCAGGAAATACGTATGCGCCTTTTTGTGTGTTTTTTTAATTGCTTCTAATTGTTAGAATTTTGATTTGATGGTCTAATTCCTATATGAAAAATCGGCAACTTTCAAATTACGCGGTTATTGCATAAAAGTTTAAAAATGCATTTTTTTTTTTCAATGCACTTTTGCGGAGTCCCTGGTGGTTCTTGCAATATCGTGGTTTAAAAAAAGCTATTTTAATAACAACGTAATCATAAGTCAGCTATTAAACCTGCTCAATCCTACTGCTTTATTAGCTGTAAACCATTTCAAAAATCACTAAGCATTCGCGACCATTATTAACTAAAATTAAAACTACTCCTTAAGTGCGCACAACAGTAGCCTAAAATTTTGATTGACATTCCAAAACTGAGATCAGCGGTTGAAAAATGGAGGACAAAAATGGAGCAACATTCGTAGGTAACTTATATTGAAGAAGGCGTGTTATATCCTCTATTTTAGTTAGTTGGGCAGAAATGTACGAGAGGTTCCACTCTTTCGTTTGCTATATAGAATATTGAAAATATTTATATTTTTGAAATTAAACTTTATTCGAAAACAACAAATAAACAGATATTCTTTCATAATAATAATTTTTTGAAAAGAAAATGTTTACTAGGACTTTCACAATTATATAACTGTAACTTGTTCGGACTAACGAACAAAATTAACTAATGAAATTAAGTCCAATTTTTCAAAGAACCTCCCACAGGCTACTATAACACTGCGTCGGTTGTTGTTGAATCAAACTTCTTGAAATTTCGCCAATCATCCTATCGGCTCCTTCAGAGCTCGCGTTCTACTCCGTACCTGCTTATATACTCTTTAAGGGGCTAACGGGGAGGCATAAATTTTGGGATTTTTCGTTAGTGCAAGCATTTTAGTTTTTGCTGAAATGCCGTAAACTCCCGGTATCTCAAACGGAATCTTGTCTTGACGGATCGAAGATGTTCATAGACTGGTAAATCTGATTTTGACGTTGTATTTCTTAAGAACTTTACCTTTTGATTGGCGAAACGTCAGCAAGTCTAGGGAATTTATAAATGGGAATAACTAAAAATTAAATATTGGGTACCACTCTTACAACGGTAGGTTAGATTCAAACGAAGTTGAACAGGGATGAGTTATTAACATCAATTTGATGATTTAAAAGGAAATTTGCAGTTTTAATTTATTAATTTCTAAGGTTTCAAAAAAATTTAATTTCTGCTCTGATAGACTAGTACATATCTTGATATTAGTAGGTAGTTGCTCTCCCGTTACCAAAACAAAAAATCAGGCGTCGCTAAAATTCATACTCATATAACAAACCCAACGTTTCTCAAATGGGCGTAAACAACAATTATAAAATATAAAAATGGCTACTTTTTCGAGCTAGAATGGTTATTAATCGTAAAAGGAATTTGAACTTTTTATTGATGAATGAATTATGATGTTTTTTTGTCCGTTTATCGATACATCTTCGTGTTTGGGCTATTTGCGTTTTGGTTATATAAAAGTGTTCTTTTGTTTTTTTTTTATCTGTTGACCTTTTTTATTTTGAAATAATTTTCCTAGAGCATTTTTGGATTATGTTTACGTAAGAAGTTGGACACGTTTTCACTGAATATGTAAATATGGTGAAAGAATATATTTAGGAAGTTGACTATTGGAAAAACCATGGTTAAACAATTATATTATGATTTTTCCTTCGGAATCTTTCGTTTTTTTGGCAAATAATCGAAGGGAGCTTATTATATAAAACGACCTTAGAGAGTTAACATAATTCTCAGCGGGAAGAATTACCCCAAAGCCGTTCTTTGTGTACAATGCCCGCACAAAAGGAAATATATTTTTTATACCTGCGATTCTGTACTTTGAGCCAAAAATTTCACCATTCAAATTTACTTTTTCAGTAAGAGTTTAAAGGCCTTCTGTTCGTTTGTACGTCTAATTAATACATTTTTGTTTTGCTTGCAGATCGGTTTAACCAAACTGATGTACATGGCGCGAGGATTCGTTAGAGTTTCGAATTCGCCCCTGCTGTGCTTCGCAGACACAATAGACTGGAGAGCGATAGGTCCGTTGATGCACTATATAAATTTGAATAAAAAGGACTGTCCGCCCTGCCCGGCGCGTTGCGAAGGTAATTGAATTTAAATTCTCTAACAAACGTTGTCTAACTGAGTACACTCGTTGCATTGCGGAAACTGGTAGCAATCACTGGACAATCGGTTCCAAATTAGAGACTTTGGTTCACCAAATGCCGGTCTTTATTTAGTTTCACCGATAAAATGGGAAATAAACTTTATGACAGACGTCCCCATCTGCTGCGCCTAGTCATAAGTGAATTCAGAAATGTTCTCTCTTTATTTATTTATTTATTTATTTTTACCCGGTACTTTTTTGGTAACTAATACAAGGTGATTGAGACTATATGTCGCTGAATATTATCGCTAAAAGGTTTTTCAGAACGTCTCACTTTTCGAATACCGTAAAAACACTTTTCTACATAATTTTTAAGTTGAAAAGGTTATTTTTGAAATAATTCTTACATTACGGGGTGATAAACAAAAGTTGTGTACCGCCCCGTTTTTATATTATGGTGCGAGATTGATATATGGGGTAAGGCTGATACCAACACAGTTCCATATCATTTTAACAAAATTCAAATCATTTGAAAAACTAAAAATGACTATTGAAATGGCTACTGAAATGTAAAAATAGTGCATTATAAGTAACTATAAGTAAGCTTACATTTAAGTTGTCCGTTAAAACAGGGCCCCTCTAGCGGTAATTTACGAAAGTTCAATTATGAGAAGAATGTTAGGCCTAGTTTTTATCCCACCAGTAGGCCCTACTTTCCATCCTAGTTCTGAAGGTAAGTACGTACGGGTGTCCTATTATAAATTACTTTGTCAATATTGATCCCATGATGAAGTTTTTTTTTTTTTTTAATTGTCAAAATTTCGCCTGACTAGAAATGTGTGTTTTTTAAATTGGGCGGTGAGGCCGCCTTGAGGACTCATCTGTAAACAGCATGTTGTGAATAAAATTAGGTGATTTTTGAATTCATTCAAATAAAATGCTGCAAAACTCAAGACGTCTCTGTTTGTCTTCATCTGTAAGATGTTGAACCTTTGATAACTTATAATAGTTATGAGTGCATTTTGTGTGTCTTTAAAATCCTCAGCGTTTGAATATTACTTAAATTCGTATCTCGCATGCGATCTCGGATATTTTGAAACCTAGTCTTTTGCAATTCAAATTAATACATTTATATTTTTATTGTTATTTTAAGACATCAAGTTCTTAATTAACATTACAAGGAACTTACTTTCTTTTTTTTTAATGATGATCTAACGAAAACTTTGGGTAATTTAAACTTCATCGTAGGATCAATGTCACCAAAGTTATCCATTTGGTAATTTATAATGGCACACCGTAACGACAATTATTTTTTTAAATATCGCGGCGTAGATTTGTCAAAATAAATTTATTTAGAAGCTGGAGCGAAATTTTGTCAGGGTCATATTTCCTCGAATTGTTTAAAACAATCCTGGCCGGAAAGTATAGTATTATCTTTTGTTTTTTATTTTTGGAACGCGTCATGGGCACATCATCCACATAATCATGATCTCGTATCAGCTCCCATGAGGATTAGTCAGTGTAAAAGTCGGAACCGCCCAAAAAGTCGGGAACATCGTTCGAACACGGGCTAAAATTAGTATGAAATTAGTGTCATTATACATGCGACGTATCTACGTCACTCGTAAGGAATAAACGCCCCTAATTGTTGCCGAGCTTCGCAATTGGATGTGCTTGGTATGTTAGTCTGAGAACGGGTATAAATAACAAAAAATATACCCTGATCAGGCTTGCCTAAAGTATCACTTCGAGCGGTTAGTCACGCGTGGCGAGTGATCGGACATTTTCGGTAGACTCAAAACACCGATGGTATTTTGATGTTTTCCAGTTCTGATGATCACGTCACGTGTTACTGAATGTGAATGTATTCGTGCTGTTTTGCAATGATGTACCCAAAACAACATTCAACATATAACTAAACAAACTCGTGCTAAAGTGTCGTCTATAAAACTTGTTGCTGATTGTAACAAAAGTTACTTCAATATTTATACAAGCTCTATCGTAAAATATCTGAACCAAAAACGCAAACGGTATTAATTTCCATTTTTTAAATTTTGCGCATTTAATAATATTAACTTGGTAACGCGGTTTTATTCTTTCTTGTTAAGAAAAAAACGATTGATTTTGTGAATTCAACTCAATTTGCGAATTCTCCTAATAACAAACTTCGACTACAAAAGCAGAGGAAACCATCGCAAATAGATAGATATGTGACTTAATACTCATTTAAAATAAAACAAGCAGGAAATTTCAAACAAAATTCGCTTATCAATCTAAAATTGACTTAGTACTGTTTGGTCCTGAGGTCCAGATATAAAGTGCTCCATTTGAAATTCCGAACATTCCTTCGGTGTTTCGGATAGATCTGGAAGCGATACATTAGCGAAAATATTTCCAAAATATAGACTGCCACCTATTTTTGCCAAAATTAACCACAACTTGATCCACCCGATATTTGGCATGTGGTAAGATATACCGGCGACATACAAAAAAAACTCTATTCTTTTATCCTTCGAATGACACAAACTATTTTTTTCAATTTTTTTTTTTTTTTTCGTATGACGGGAAACGAGACCAACTAATAACGTAATCTGATAATCTCGTGGCCGACGATGTTAAAGGGAACTTCGTTTCGGCGACGTGTTCGCCTTTAATATTTTGCGCGTATATTAGATACTAAATACGTAAGGGATCCGCGAAATTTATGGCCACAAGTTACGGAAATTCTTTTAGAATTCGTTACAATAAAATGCAAAAAATGCAAACGAACAACAAAAGAGGCACAGGCAACTGAGTCAACCACTAGAAACTTTCTATACCTTCTTCTTCTTTTAAAGATATAATGGGTGTTTTTTTCGATGTATTTGTTTTTGATAACTCGCATCCCCGGAGACGCCGTACGGTGCGTAAAGAAGAAGCTATTGCTGCTGTAGAGCGTAGCATTGAGGAAGACCCGAATGAGTCCATCCGCCATCGAGCACAGGAATTGGATCTGTGTCCATCCACTTTATGGAAGATTTTGCGGAAGGATCTTGGTTTACGTGCTTACAAAATCCAACTCGTGCAAGAATTGAAGCCAAACGATCATCAAGTAAGGCGTAGATTCGTCGAATGGGTCCAAAACGAGATTGCCGTTGTTCCCGATTTTCATAAGCGAATTTTGTTTAGCGATGAAGCACACTTCTGGTTGAATGGCTACGTCAACAAACATTTGGAGCGAAGCTAATCCTCAAGTGTACGTCGAAACACTGTTACATCCAGAAAAACTGACTGTTTGGTGCGCTTTATGGGCTGGTGGAATCATTGGTCCGTACTTCTTCAAAAACGATGATGGCCAGAACGTTACAGTCAATGGTGATCGGTATAGAGCTATGATCTACGGCGCAACATGTCACACAGCTCGTGCCACAATCGATTTATTGAAAGACACGTTTGGTGACCGCCTAATTTCATGTTTTGGACCTGTAAATTGGCCTCCAAGATCTTGTGATTTAACACCGCTAGACTACTTTCAGTCATTGGTCTACGCGGATAAGCCACAAACGCTTGACCATTTGGAAGACAACATTCGCCGTGTTATTGCCGATATACGGCCACAAATGTTGGACGTCCATATTTGACTACATCCGCGCCAGCCGTGGCGGTCATATGCCAGAAATCATATTTAAAATGTAATGCCACAAGATTATCTTTCGGATAAATAAAATTCATGTCAATCGAATAATCCATCGTTGTTTTATCGCAAAAACACCCCTTATAAGTATTGGGGGCTGCAGTATTTGGAGTACATTTTCAGATTTAGTCCACTCATTGCAAAAAGGGCTCGTGCGTATCTTTGTACGACATTCTATCACTGTCTTCGAATGGGTCAACTCCGCCACCTATGTCAGAGTTTCCAGCACCAGGGGGCGGATATCAATCGCAGGTCTGTTTGGAATATGCTGGGATATGTACCAAACCGATTGATATTTCCGTCTTTGCTTTCCATAAATGCCAAACTCATCATCTTCATGCGTTTTCGATCCATGAGGTCAGCCTTATATTAAGCCCACTCAACCCTGCTTGATTAATTACCGCTCAGATAGTTGCCCATTGCTGCCATGGCTGATTCTTCTTTGTGGAAGTTTTAAAAAATAAGAATTTTATTTATCAGTTTGTCAGTGGAGAAATGCCAGTTGGGTTGCTTAAATTGATATATTGGGTCAGTAACAGGCTTACTGTACCGGAGGAAGCGCAGGCGATCCCGAGTCCACCCACAACCTTAATGTTTAGTCCCGTTAGTTTATTACTTCAAAGAAGCTCGAATTTTTGGTTTTTGCGGTAATTTTTCAAACAAATTTTTAATCAATCGCCCCATTTGAACTCCTTCAAGTCGTTGATCAGTTGCTCCTCAGTAGCTGCGTATGCAGCGGGCCTTGATAAGTATACATATTTTAACTTTTCACTGATGAATGTATTCTGATGGCCCTTACTAGGCTTTACTCGTTCAGTAGGAAAGGCATAAAAATTAAATTTTAAGGACTCAGTCCCCGTCACGTCTAAAATTAACCTTTTACGACTGTTTTTCGACCGCGACAAACGCAAAACAAACAGTATAGGCTTTTCGTTCTGAAACTGCGCTATTTTAAGCACCGCGAACGTTATTTATTTCAATCGCAAAATCGAATATACCTCTGGGCAATAAATTTTTATCCGAGTCTGGTCAGGAACATTTTGACCCTGAAAATATTAGATAAGACCGAGCAACACAACCGACATTGTTATACTGCTATACCGCGTTTTACAAAATTTAATGGCGCAACCAAGTTGTATACTTTGGCTTGTACATATTTGGACATTTTGTTATATTAAAATATTGCATAAAAGTTGACTCATATTGCAATAAAATGGAAGATAACGAAGCTTGATCTGGGGATCTGGGATCTGAGCATAATGGATGGATTTAAAGAAGAATAAATATAACTAAAGATGACAAACATGTCTATGTTTTTTGCGTGCTAATTTTTTTTTTTTTTAATGGAAAATTTGCATTTAGTATCCGTTTATTTTTCTGTTTTTCAGGGCACTGCTGGAATTTGGACCAGTGCCAAGAAGTTCCAAACCAAAACTGCCATATAGAATGTTTAGGTTGCTCGAAGGAAAACTCTTCTAGACACTGCCACACTTGCAAAAATTTCAACGATCATGGCACCTGCGTAGATAAATGTCCGCCACATACGTAAGTACTTCTTCGCAGGGGAAACGGGACATACACAGTGTTACGCCTCCCAACATATTATTGTATATTCAATCGAACGGGGCATACCGTTAAACTCTTTGTGACTAATTTAAGTGAAAATCGCCACGGAAACACAGTAGTTAGGCATTAGTAACATTTGATTTGTTTTTGCATTTCATTAAATTAAATGTAAACCTTTTAAGTCACCTCTGGTCGCAGCCCGACCGTCCACTACATTGCTCTTCTCTACACACACACGATATAGATAGTTTTAGTTTTTATAAATCGTCTTGTGCCTTATCAATTGCTGAGTTGGCGTCTAGAGAATAATGTTTGTTAGATGTCTGCATTAATACAATTGTAAGTCAGTTCTTCCCAATTTTATGTGAATATACCGTTGAAACCATACCTTATACTGAGTGAGAACAAATATGCCTATATATCTCAAAGATGTATTGAACAACAAGGAAATGAACACGTTCCATAGAGCTGATATCCCAAAGGCCTAATATAACTGCCTGTCCGATTTAGAGAAACCCGAGTTTTATAAGGTTGTTCGGAAAGTCATTTCGTTTTTTCCCGTCAGAGGACTTAATTACGTTTTTTCGAAACCAACTTCACACTTAAGCCGCATAACCGTTATATGTCTTGAGAGCTGATATTGCAAGGCTTGTGTGTGAAAAAGTTCTATTAATTCTACGCAGTAGTTTTTGGTTGGCGCCCTTTTAAATATGGAGAGCAATAAGCAGCATTTTCGTCATATTTTACTTTTCTACTTCAGAAAAGGTAAAAATGCTGTCCAAGCGAGAAAAAAATTGACGGATGTGTATGGAGAAGGCGTGTTAACGGTACGCCAGTGCCAGAACTGGTTTGCAAAATTTCGATCCGGCAATTTTGATGTCGAAGATGCACCACGGTCTGGAAGGCCGGTCGAAGCTGACAAAGATGCGATAAAGGCATTAGTTGATGCAAATCGGCGAATAACCACACGAGAGATCGGTGAGAGATTAAATTTGTCGAATTCGACTGTTTATGGCCATTTGAAAGGCACGGGCTTAACCTCGAAGCTCGATGTGTGGGTGCCCCAAGTCCTTACGGAGCGAAATTTGTGTCGTCGCGTTGACGTGTGTGATTCGCTCCTCGAACGTCAAGAAAATGATCCATTTTTGAAGCGGATTATTACTCGGGACGAAAAATGGGTTGTATACAACAATGTTAAACGCAAGAGGTCATGGAGCGGAAAAGATGAACCGGCTCAAAGCGTGTCAAAAGCCAACATTCACCAAAAAAAGGTGACGCTCTCCGTTTGGTGGGATGTCAAAGGAATCGTTTTTTTTGAGCTTTTGCCGGACAATACAACGATTAATTCAGAAGTCTATTGTCATCAACTGGACAAATTGAATGATTCACTTAAACAGAAGAGGCCCGAATTAATCAACAGGAAGGGTGTAGTGTTCCGCCAGGATAATGCGAGACCTCACACAAGTTTGGTCACTCGCCAAAAACTTTTACAGCTTGAATGGGACGTACTGCAACATCTACCATATTCTCCAGATCTGCCGCCTTCCGACTACTATTTGTTCCGGTCCCTGTAAAATTTTTTGGATGGCAAAACCTTTACCTCAAATGAAGATGTCAAAAAAACACCTGAACCAGTTTTTCGCCAGCAAGGACCAAAACTTTTATGAGAGGGGAATTATGTTACTGCCAGAAAGATGGCAAAAGATGTTGGACCAGAATGGCCACTATATAATTTAATAAAATATTTATTCATTATACGAAAACCGTCTTTCATGTTCCCCAAAAAAAACGAAATGACTTTCCGAACAGCCCAATAGAATCCAAGGTAGTAAATGGATAGTGAAAACCTCAAAGAAAGTGACAACTACCTCGTCGAATCATCGCCTGCCTGTAGAATACGAATGCACGTATAAACCGAATCGATTGGTCTTCGATGATACGCAGCTTCCCCAGCTGAACTTTTCTCTAGCTATAAGACGGAGGAAAACCCTCGACACCCCTGAAATCGACCTGAGCGCTATAAACCTTGCAAGAAACGAAGCAAATACAAGAACAACTAGGTGGAAATGAAAGAACAATAGAAGATATGACAGCTAGAGTTTAAATACGAAGAACTAGTGTTTGGAATATTGTTTTGTATATTCTTATTGTGTTAACAATAGTCTCTCTCCTATATAAATATTTTATTTCGAATAAACTAAAAGCAAAAAAAAAAAGAAATAATCGAAAATATTGTAATATAACAAAAAGAACATGTTGCATCCTGCTTTTATCTAAGGGCGGAGGAGTTACAAATCTCCTTGGGCTTTATCATTGCTTAGTTAGCGTCTAGACAATAATGTTATCATTAAGATTTATATAAATATGTGTACACGTACAGTTCTTGGCTAGTTTGTTACAAACCGCGCTCGAATAAAGTTTTTAAAAAAATAGAAGACGAAAATTCTACTTTGCTAAAGATTAAACAAGAAAAAGTACATGTTTATTTAAAAAAGACTATTTTGTATCAAGATACATCAAAGTAAATGAGCGTATAAAAAAATAAACGGCCGTTCCGTTTAAAATTACCAGGTTTTTCCCGATTTTACTCGCACATGGCGACGCGGCCATAGTAACCTAAAAAACTTTGTGTCAATATACATTTTTTTAATTTTTACTTTGAAAATTAATCTACATTAGAAATATTTTGGAACGGATCTGATATTTTCATAACGCACTTCTTAAATGCAACGGATTTTTTAAAACCAATATTCAATAATTTATCTTTGTGTTCTACTAGACTTTTTAGACGCCCTATAAATAGGAAAAGCAAGCAAATCAACTAAAATGAATTACCCCCAATTTCTTCTAGCGATGTTTTACTTAATTGAAATTTTTCCGGTGGCGTCGTACCAAAAATAAATCGCTTCCGCCAGATTAAAACGGGACACTCCCCCTATTTTACAATCGCGAATTAAAGAGCTTTGTATTTGTTTAGTACACATTTTTAGGCAATTGAACTGAGGAGGCTTTTACTTGATGAAAATCCATCTATCAAAATAAATAAGAACTAAAAGTTCAGATTTTCACGAAATTATATATTTTGACATGACAATTGTTTCGACAACACCGCGTCTTGATCAAATGTAATATTTACAAACTACGTGCTACTATATATACCGAAAAATGACCATAAAACCTTAATTAATTTTGTTGTGAGAATTTAAGTTCAATAAAGAGAATTGATCGTTAAGCAATACATTTAAATGGCTCATTTTGTTAATCTCCATGGCTTCCAATAAATTTAATTTTCTACTTTTTGTGACTGTATGTAATATATCAAAATTGTCGTCAAAAATGTGTTTTTCAGTGTTTAAGTGTGTAGAATAATTAAAATCTAGACTATTGTTTTTAAACGCTCTTATATGTTCGTTAATGCGTTTCTTGAAGGATCTCCCTGACAAGATCCACTTTTCAACCTGTAGACACCTGATTTTTGGGATTTTGGACATTTCGTTTTATTGTTTTTTAAATATTTGTTAGTTCTGAAAGCTATTTTTAAACCACATTTTGACAAATGTTTTGAAACTTTTTCACTAGGTTCTCCTATGTATGTAATTGGTTTAAATTGTTCGTGTTCTGTATTAGGTTTCGGATAAATAGAGTTTACTGTTGTCTGTATTTGTTTTTTATTTATAATTTTATCTATAATGGACGGATTTTCTACTTTTTGTGGCTGTCTGTAAAATATCAAAATTGTCGTCAAAAATGTGTTTTTCCGTGTTTAAGTGTGCAGCATAATTAGAATCTAGACTATTGTTTTTAAACGCTCTTATATGTTCGTTAATGCGTTTCTTGAAGGATCTCCCTGACAAGTTCCACTTTTCAACCTGTAGACACCTGATTTTTGGGATTTTGGACATTTCGTTTTATTGTTTTTTAAATATTTGTTAGTTCTGAAAGCTATTTTTAAACCACATTTTGACAAATGTTTTGAAACTTTTTCACTAGGTTCTCCTATGTATGTAATTGGTTTAAATTGTTCGTGTTCTGTATTAGGTTTCGGATAAATAGAGTTTACTGTTGTCTGTATTTGTTTTTTATTTATAATTTTATCTATAATGGACGGATTTTCTACTTTTTGTGGCTGTCTGTAAAATATCAAAATTGTCGTCAAAAATGTGTTTTTCTGTGTTTAAGTGTGTAGCATAATTAGAATCTAGACTAGTGTTTTTAAACGCTCTTATATGTTCGTTAATGCGTTTCTCGAAGGATCTACCTGTATGTCCAATATAAATTTTAGGACAAGATCCACATTTCAACCTGTAGACAGACAGACAATAAATCGAATTGTCCAAAATTCCAAAAATCAGGTGTCTACAGGTTGAAATGTGGATCTTGTCCTAAAATTTATATTGTACAAATAGGTAGATCCTTCAAGAAACGCATTAACGAACATAAAAACATACACAAACACACTTAAACACAGAAAAGCACATTTTTGACGACAATTTTGTACATTCAAATGTATTGCTTAACGATCAATTAGATTTAAATACCTCTCCTTTATTGAACGAAATTAAATTTCTCGCAACAACATTAATTAAGGTTTTATGGTCATTTTTCGGTATATATAGTAGCAGGTAGTTTGTAAATATTACATTTGATAAAGACACGGTGTTGTCGAAATAATTCACAAGTGACTATATATATATTGGGTTGTTCGGAAAGTCATTTCGTTTTTTTTTGGGAACATGAGAGACAGTTTTCGTATAATGAATAAATATTTTATTAAATTATATATTGGCCATTCTGGTCCAACACCTTTTGCCATCTTTCTGACAGTAACATAATTCCCCTCTCGTAAAAGTTTTGGTCCTTGCTGGCAAAAAACTGGTTCAGGTGGTTTTTGACATCTTCATTTGAGGTAAAGGTTTTGCCATCCAAAAAATTTTGCAGGGACCGGAACAAATAGTAGTCGGGAGGCGCCAGATCTGGAGAATATGGTGGATGTTGCAGTACGTCCCATTCAACCTGTAAAAGTTTTTGGCGAGTGACCAAACTTGTGTGAGGTCTCGCATTATCCTGGCGGAACACTACACCCTTCCTGTTGATTAATTAGGGCCTCTTCTCTTTAAGTGAATCATTCAATTTGTCCAGTTGATGACAATAGACTTCTGAATTAATCGTTGTATTGTCCGGCAAAAGCTCAAAAAAAACGATTCCTTTGACATCCCACCAAACGGTGAGCGTCACCTTTTTTTGGTGAATGTTGGCTTTTGACACGCTTTGAGCCGGTTCATCTTTTCTGCTCCATGACCTCTTGCGTTTAACATTGTTGTATACAACCCATTTTTAGTCCCCAGTAATAATCCGCTTCAAAAATGGATCATTTTCTTGACGTTTGAGGAGCGAATCACACACGTCAACGCGACGACACAAATTTCGCTCCGTAAGGACATGGGGCACCCACACATCGAGCTTCGAGGTTAAGCCCCTGCCTTTCAAATGGCCATAAACAGTCGAATTCGACAAATTTAATATCTCACCGATCTCTCGTGTGGTTATTCGCCGATTTGAAAAAACGTAATTAAGTCCTCTGACGGGAAAAAACGAAATGACTTTCCGAACAACCTTATAATTTCGAGAAAATCTGAACTTTTAGTTCTTATTTATTTTTACATTTTTCGGCGTTTACTTCCGTGCTTTCTGTGGCACTCGAAAGTTTTAATAAAATGTGTCTCCAAAACTAACTCTAAAATTAGTATTTCTAATCTGAGCTTCTTTAATAGCTTTGCACTGCTTGTTCGCAATTCCCTTCTAGATACTACTACGTGTTGAAGCTTAAATTGCATCCAGAAAATGTTCGATTTCCCAGGATTATTTTTATATTTATTTATTATAATTTTTTTGTTGGACAACAGTTCGAATACAGAATGCTGGAAATATCGCTTGCGCCTCGTTTAAGTATTATTCCTGTAGAATGTTTGTTTATGGTTCATTTTTGATAATAGACACTAATGATTTTTTTAAAAATTAAATATGACTGGGGAGGATTAGATATGAACTAAACAGATTTTTTTTAATTAAAAAGGGTTCTTAACTCTCGTCTTATAATGAAAATAACAGAAATATCACAATTGATTGACGTCGGAATACTGTCTTTGCAAAACCAGGTTTGCCATAGAGAAGCGAATATTGGACTTTCAAATTCACTCGCTATTTATATTTTAATTTTGTTTACATTGTACCTTTCGATAACTAAGATTTATTATTTATGTCCCTTAAAAAGTCTTTTTCATCATTATTTTTAAAATTTTATTAATTAAAATTTGTACGATCTTAAAGTCACGTACAAAATAATTGTTATGTACAAGGTTTACAATATTTTTATTTTTAAACATTAAGAACTTTGGTCATTGGTCTAGTTACTTTTACGTAGTCCTAAATACATACGAATCTATTATTTTCAATTTGAAAAAATCTCTAAAAGTACTACTTGATTTTCCGACTTTAGTCGATGCTATACGAAAAAACCGTTTCATTTCTCTTTTGTAAGATCTATGTAACAAAAAAGAATTATCAAATTACCTTAAGTTCAAAAAAACAACACACTTATAGGCCCTTAGCCGCTAACGACACGTCTCTCTATCGGTTGAAGCTAACTAATAAAAATCCACCTGCAATGGGAAATAAAAATTGAGGTAATAAAAAAGAACAAAGAATATTAGAACATATTGCGCGATCACTCAATAGACAAGATGTGGATAAACAGCTCTCAACACTTTACTTCACCAATGGGAACCATATAAACCTTATGAACCTTATATAGAAGATAAGGTCAGAAATTATCGGAAGTTGATTCTGCAGGCTATGTAAAGAAAAAATCGAAACTGTAGAGCACCTCTTGGCAGAATGCAAATACTTTGCTACCGATATGAAATAATATTAATTAATATTATTATAATTAATATTAAATAATATTAATTTGTTTAAACAGCTGTATTAGCTGGAAGCTACATAGAACATCTTTTCCTTCATACAACCTCGCAAAGCAGCCAACTAATCCCACTCCCGATTAGGATATTGTATATAATAAAACCCTTTTGATAAACGCCACTTTAGTCACGAGTGTGTTTTGGTATTCCCGGTGCGCTGTGAAGCAAGTGCCTATTAAAGAAGTGTCGCTTTATTCGTGCATAATTTGGTATTTTAGAAGAGACAGTAGAAAAATACATGAATGAAAATTAATCTTAATCAAGGAGAACTATCGTATGCCAAAACAAAACGTACAAAGCGCAAAAAAAGAAACAAAAAAAACAAAACTATTTTAAGTAAATGGTTTTATTTAAAAATTGTTAAGGTTCTTGATCTAAGTTGGAGAGGGAGTTTATTATAAGTTTTGATAAAGGTGTACGTAATCACAGATGTTTTCAATAATCTTGTAAACAGTTTAAGACATTATTCTTAGACGATTGTTTTTACAGTAATTCAAGTCTTATTTCCTTGTAAACAATGTCGGCAGAAATATTTTTTGAAATTGTTTAAAAGTTTTTTGTATTGTGTGCGGAGGTTATAAATAACCATTTTTTTTTTCGATTGTTTTCAAAGCTGTAAACGGTGTCTTGGTTATATAAAATGTTATGTTACGTTGTACCTCCAGCCTTTTACGGGCTGCTGGCTACATAAAGTTGCGGTCATTTTACGACAACATTTTTATTGTTGTGTTTTAAAATAGTACATTATCCAACAAGTGCGGTACTGTATTTTTCTACGACCGTTAAGTTTTTGTGTACATTTTTTGCAAAACAATACGAATTTACTGACATGACTGTGAGAATTGACAAACGTCAAAATTCAAAGCTTGGGAAATATCTCCGAAAACATCCGATTGCTCCCGAACCCGTGCGGTAAAATCCCGGAAATGTCCGAAGTGGCTCGGTCCGTGGGACAAGAAACTCACGTGGTAAACTGACGCTTGCCGCGCACTAAATTAGTGTATAATTAGGTATTTTATATAATATTATATTTTTCTACACCCTTCTGTAAAATACACACAAAAATATAAAAAATCAGTAAAGCCATTCGTGAAAAATGTTTTATAAAATTTTTTGTGTAATGTGCTATTAATGATTTCCGATACCTCAACCCCGATTGGGTGTTCACCATCTACAGGAACAAAATTGGGGGATTTAGTGAAGGAAAAAATTTGAGTGACTGTCATACTAATTTTTCTGCTTTAGTTTTCTAAATTATTTATTAAAAATTTGCGAAGATTGTGTCTGTGTTATTTTTTAATTTTAAGTAAATATTTCAAAAAAGGAAAAAGTTCCACCAACGTTAAGTTCTGGATAGTCAAGGCAATATTGTTTCTTTTATAATCAAAATTACCCGCGTATGCTTCGTAAAGTAATACTTCTGAAGAAAAATAATAATTAGTGACTCGTTACTTTCGTGCATTGGGCAGATTACAGTTTTGCACTTCTCTTTTAAGGTTTTTACTTGTCAGGGACCAATACCTCGTGTTTTTTAATCATTTTATTAGGCTTTTGAGCTTTTTGAAAATGTATAACACATAAGAGCAATTTCTTGTATCAAGTTAATTAGATAAGAAATGTCACGACTGTTTGACAACAAGAGTATATTGGATAACGGTCATATTTTTTGCATGGCCTCATAAAAGAAATGTATTTAAAAATTTTTTTTTCTGAACTGATTAATTGTGTGCCTGTAATTCAATTATGTTATAATTGAGTTCATATTTAAATAATGTAATCAGGCAAAATAATTAATTGTAATTTTGTCTTATTATTGGAAAAAAGCGGTTTTGACACGTAACCGTTGACGATTTTCCATCGAATTAAAAGCATTAAATTGATATTTTCTGAAAAATTCCCATAAGCCACCGTATCAGTCAATAGTTTCAAATCAATAAATATGTTTATAAAACCAGTTAATGGTAGCGAAGTTTATACCTCTTTTATTTGTCTTGATAAATCTATTAATTAAGAACACTGAGCTAGTAAAAGCTAATCACAACGACAATGCATAATTCCGATACTTCTGATTTTCCGATACGGTCTTAATGATCGACCTGATATATATGCGCACTTTCAATAGTAATCCTTATTCGCGATGACAGGTGTCAGTGAAAGTCATATGCAATATTCTGTATAATTGGCGGTTCATAATTATTAATCTTCCGCTGTAAAGACTCGTACCGTAATTAAATTATTTTTTCAGATATACCAACTGGATATCGTTCGATTGCCTTACCGAAGAAGAATGTTTCAATTTCAAAAAGAACGCCTACTGGACATTCGGCGATACGTGCGTCAACGATTGTCCGCCGCGGTACGAATCCATCATGGTGGATGGCAAGAAAAGTTGTCGTTTGTGCGACAGTTCCTGCGTGAGGTACTGCAAAGTTTCCAACGCCATAGAGACGCTGAACGAACTGCAAAAATTTAAAGGTTGCACACATATCAACGGATCTCTCGTTTTAAAGTTGGCGGCGGTTGGGGGGCACAGCGAACAGATTCTCGAGGAGCTAAAAGCAAGTTTGGGATTGGTTCGATACGTCAGGGATTACCTGATAATCGGAAGGATGAATAGCATGAAAGATTTGAGATTCCTCGAGAATCTGACTACAATTGAAGGGCAAAATTTGACCAACAACAGGGCGTTGTTCATTTATGAAAATCAAAATCTGCAAAAGTTGTGGGATTTCGATGCGAAGAATTTTTCTTTGAATATTTTGAACGGTGAGTGACCGTCATATAGCGTAGAACTACATATTTGCCCTGATTACCTTTGGTTGATAAGTGAGACCACACAGTCCTTAAATTAACCTTATTTAAAAGCGGAAGAAGTATTCAACTCCCCGGAGTTGAGGGACTAACGACTTCTTAGTAAATTTGATTAAATATAGATTAATACAATGAGAAATGATCATCGCATAATAACAAAAATTTTTTCTACAATTATTCAGTCTCCCGTGAAAGAATTTACTTTAAAAATTCAACTTAAGGCACAACATAGGCAGATATGGACATGTTGTTTCATTCTAATTTGATGTAGAAACAGAAACGTATTGCTTAAAAAATTGAACCGAAAATAATTAATTATTGTGTACTTCCATTGCTTAATGATCAGGAAAGATTAGTGAGAACATCCAAATGCGAAGATTGCTATTCGATCAATGTTTCCTTCCATATATACACCTGAAATAAGTGTTCTCTTGTATTGAACTTTATAAAGTACAAAATTGGAATAGAATAAGCTAATAATCAAGTTATATTTTATCATTTATTAATGAAGTTACCAATTAGTATTCCTCAAAAGTATTTTATAATAAGCTATTATCTTGATTCGGGTTTAAAGGCCGTCGTCGATTGGAATTACTTCCTAACGTTTCGCTAGCACGAGTGGCGAGCTTCTTCAGAGGTCCTTCCATCTCCGATGTTGGACGTAGACTGACGATTTCTCCTGCGCAGGTTGTATTTATGCCGATTGGTGGTGGGCGGGGCTTGTTCCGCTTCGGTTGGTCTCGGGATATCGATCGGTACTGCTCGGGCGTTCCTAAGGATCGGGTTCCAGATTTGGTTGAGTCTAAGGGTCTCCTCCTTTCGGTTGAAATTGTGTGGGTGTTTTTGTATCTCAATGGATTCCCTGACTAGTCTGTTGTGATAGCCGTTGACCGATGCTATTAACTTACAGCTCTCAAAGTGTATCCTGTGTTCCCCGCTGCCCAGTGCGTGTTCAGCTACTGCAGACTTCTCTGTATGTCCTAGCCTGTAGCTTGCTTTATGCTCCTTAAGTCTCGTTCCCATTGATCTCTTGGTAGTCCCGATGTAGACCTTTCCGCATGAACACGGAATGCGGTAGACTCCTGCAGCTGAAAGTGAGCCCCTCTTGTCTTTCGCTGACCTGATGGTCTGCTGGATCTTCTTTGTAGGCTTAAAGATTGTTTTGATGTCGTGTCTTTTCAATACTCTGCCAATCCTGTCGGTGACACTCGGAATATACGGCAGATATGCGTGGGAGGTGGAGGGTCGTTGTTCGGTATCCCGTGATCTTGATGATCTTGAGTTCATTGATCTCTCGACCTCTCTCTTGCTGTAGCCATTTGCCTCGAACACAGTTTTTAGGTGTTCAAGTTCCATCTGGAGGTTCTCCGGTTCGCAAATCCTTCGGGCTCGTTCTGTCAGGGTTCTGATAACCCCATACTTTCGACTTGGGTGATGGTTGAATAGAGCATGCAGGTATCTGTTCGTATGGGTTAGTTTTCGGTAAACTGTGTGGCCCAGCTTCTTACCTCGCTTCCTCACTAGTACGTCCAAGAATGCAAGTTGTTGGTCATTTTCAGTCTCCATAGTAAACTGGATGCTGGGATGCTGACTGTTGAGATGCTGCAGAAAGTTGTTGAGCTTGTCCATACCATGTTTCCAAATCACGAAGGTGTCATCCACGTACCGGAACCACGTTGCTGGCTTGTACTCTGAGGTCTCGATCGCTTTTTCCTCAAAGTGTTCCATAAATAAGTTGGCTATAATCGGGCTTACTGAGCTTCCCATTGCCACTCCGTCCACCTGTTCGTAGAAGTTTCCCTTCCACACAAAATAGCTACCGGTCAGACAGACTTCAAAAAGTTTGCAAATATCGACAGGAAATATCCTGTTCACCAGGTCCAAGCAACTCTTCAGAGGTACTTTGGTAAACAGTGAGACGACGTCGAAGCTCACAAGGATGTCGTTTTGTTCAATATTGAAATCTTGAATCTTACGCACGAAGTCGGTGGAGTCCTTGATGTAACTGGTGACGTGTCCTACGTGTGGTTGGAGCAGCGATGCCAAGTGTTTAGCCAAGTAATACGTTGGTGATCCGGGTGCGCTTGTTTCAATTGAGTTACAATCGAGTTCTATTTAAAAAATCCAACATACTATTACATTTTATTGTTAAACAAAGATTGTTCTGTCAATTTTGACACTACTAATATATTCCCATTTTTGCATATTTTGTTCGTTGTTGCATATTTGGTTGTTATGTTTATATTTTAGTTTTTTTTTTTTTCAAAGAAACTTCCTCGGGCTACTGTAATGCTTTTTCCAAAACTTCTGGATTCCTCCTGCGTCGGTTTTTGCTTAGTCGAAATTGCTGACGTTTCGCCAATCGCCCTGTTGGCTTCTTCAGTTTTCAGTCAAGTTCTGAGGAAGCCAACAGAACATGTTATATAAAATGTTCCAGAATGTTTCGCAGAATTTAAAAATGTAATAATCTACAGGGTGTTCCATTTAAAACACGAAAGTTGATATACCTTACGAATATATCTGGTAACACCGCATGGCCAAAAATATTTTACATAGGTAGCTCCTATTCGCATCCGTAAGTAATTAAGATTTCAGGTTTTTACGGCAAGTCATTCTCGATAAACGTCTAATAGGAGACTCACCGTGAATAACATTGAAATAGAAAAAGTCATTTTGCAATTCAAAAATATTAACTGATAGGTTTGGTTTAAATTATCCGGAACTTGTCTGATGATGTTCAGTAACTGCTAGTGGCAGATTATGCAAAACTGTTTTGAAAAGCATTAATAGTTTCGATTGGTGTTGGGAATGCGATATGCATTATTCAAATTTAAATTGGCTTCAATTTAAAAACACGCACCCGGGTGTAATTTAACTTTAAAATCCCATCGGATTCAAAATGTCTCATCAAGATACCGGTACATAATTTGACAAATAATTTTCGCCTCTGTTCCTACCAAATCCGATAATAAACGCGTGTTTGTTTTTCGTTTATAATTCTGCTTTTAAATTGATAATTAGTCGGTAAAAAAACCGTTTTTAGTCACTGAAATATGCCTGTGCTTGGAGGTTTCCTTTGAAAAAGTGTTTCAATTTATTATTTACTATTGAATATTTACTTCATCAATATATTTTAACTATTTACTAAATTTACAGGCGCAAGGACGAAACAGAATTTACAAATGAGTTCTCCACAAAAAAAAAACCAAAAAAGGTCTATCAGAGTAATTTACCTAATTCATCATTTCTGTTGAGCAGCTACACCCCCTGTAATTAATAAATTGGTAATTAAAATATGTAATTATCATATTTATTTATTATTTTTTAAGTATATTTATTATTTATTATATTATATATTAATTATTATATTTGTTATTATTATATATTTTTAAGTATTTTTAAAGAAACTATATAGTATATATAATATTACTGGGATGAATTTGATATTGCCAATCATCAACGGGATCTGATCAATATCCCTTCAGACATCCACAACCTTGCAGATATCCATTATTTTCTTGACTTGTTTTTTTTGTGTTTTCTTTGACACCCTATAACGCCTGTCAGAGCATTCAGCGCAGATGAATTCGTCGTAATCATAAGACACAAATTATAATAAAATGATGAAACCAATAAGCAAAGTTAAAAAGAAGCTTACCACTTAAACAAGTTGGTTTCAAGAAATTATTGATCTGATATATTGATAATTAAAAAAAAAAGTTAAAAATAATAGTTTTCTTCTATCTGTTACGCTCCAGCGGAGGCTAGCGGCACTATCGTGAAATATGTCGCAGGATATGCAAAAAATCTAATTGGTCCGTTCGTTATGTATTTCATTTACTATAATAATTTACACCGTTACCATCGCCAGCCAGCTGCTTTCGACCCCGTATCTCGCGCACTCTGGACATTAAATGAAAACGATAAATTGAAAAAAGAACTATCAATTTTTTTTATACTTCTTGAATTATCTTTCCCAGTTTTAATAGGACACACCTGGAGACACATATCTAGCTTCATGCAAAATGTCAACTTGAAATTTCGAAGACTTGTTTAGTTTTCGAAGCAAAAATCCAAAATAGATAACAAGAAATAACATATTTTGCGGGCCAATGAAGATCAGGTATTATTAAAGCGGAGGGGAGTTCGTAACCAGCAGCCCGAATTCTTCGAAAGTTATCAGACTGCAAAAAATTGTCCGTTGCAGCGAACAGAAAACAGGAAAAAAAAGTTTTTTGGATTCCGTTCTCCGTTACCGAGATGTCCAACATAGTGATGAGTGTAAATATTTTCTCGAAAGTCGATTTCATGAAAGGGGAGAACGTCTCTTACGAGACACTAAAATTTCCTTGCCGACAAGCGTACGAAGATGGTTTGGAGATACTTCAACTAACTTTTGCTGCTCTCTTATACAACAAAGTTCACTATCTAATGAGAAAAGAAATTCATGTTCCATTAAAATAATTGCTAAATTGCTGCTCCCATAAATCCCTCTCTAAGGAATTTACCAGTATTTGCAGTATTTCTCCAGACAGCTGAGACCATAAAGATAAGAACATAGTTGACTCCGCTGTAATCTGTACTCTAATCCTACTTAAAATACGATCACGTGAATGCTAACGTGAACCCTTAGCGAAGGATTTACATCAACTGGCAGGAGACCGCAGTTGCGGGTTTTTCATCGAAGTCTGGTGTACCAATAGTACATCACAAAAACATGGGGTAATGGCATAGATAAATTAAAAGACCCCCCGGCCGCGTGTCGCCTTGAGTTTGGCTTCAAATTGTAGGGGGTATACACTTAATGAACTGTACCTGCTTATATATATTGTTTGAGGGATTGTAGGTAAAGGAGGACATGAACTTTGTCTCGGATGACTGATTCCCATATTAATAAAAGGTAAAGACCTAGGTTGCGGTTAAGATTGTTCGTTTGCTTATACATTTCTATAGATTCTCGGAGTTTTCGTTGGTAGCAAAATTTTTGGTTTTATCGAATAAAATTCTATGTCCGATTTCGTGATTGTGTTCGGCAACGGCTGATGCGTTTGTTTGTCTTAGTCTTAAGGCTCCTTCATATTCTTGAGAATTGTGTCCTTGATAGATCGAAGATCTTGAGAGATTTTTCGACAAGTGGTCGTGGTATTGGTATTAAAGAGGGGCGCTCCCGCGGGCGTCCAAGCACGTAGGCCACCAGATGGTCCTGTTGTGCCCCCAGACCGCGCTAGAGGGCGTCTAGAATGCCGCCCCTCCTGTAGAAGGTCAGCAACTCTTTTAGCCCAATACCGTGCACTGATTCCGGATCGATAAAGGCCGTTCCGAAGACTCCTAATCTTGCACATGTCAAAGCAGGGCACTCGGTGAGCAGATGATACGGGGTCTCCTCCCCTTCCATGCACCACCTGCACTCCGGGTCGTCTCCCATTCCTAGCAAGCAAAGATGCCTCCTAAGCCTGCAAAGTCCTGCGTAGGCCCCTGTTAGTGCTCTACACTCTCTTCTGGTCAGTCTAAGCAGCTCCCTGGTCCGAGGGAGGGCGGGCCCATCCATCATAAGCCTCGCCTACCTCGTTCCCGGAGGAACTCTCCAGCCCACCGCGGCGCGTTCTCTCACTCAGGCTTCGAGAGCTCCCCGCCTCACATTCGGGGCGATCCCCAAGCGGGGCTCTGGCCCCATATACCAATGTGAGGAGCCCTCCCTGGCTAAGGCGTCCGGTGTGACCCGGGACCCAGACCAACGTGACATTCTTCGCCTCGGCCACTTTCCTCGGTACCCCTTTGCACTTCTTTATCAACAAGGAGCGCGTGCGCATTGACTTAGCGCCATAAGTTGAGCCGAAGCACCTCTAATATAGCGAAACACACTAGCTCGATACCATTGTCTCGCGGTACGCTCCAGTTCCGTGTACCGGACAAGTCCATCCCAGGTGCCAACTCTGCCCTCTCTCCACTGTTCCATTGATAGGAAGAGACAGGTCCATTTGTCAAAGGTCATCTCGGGGATCATAACGTCACTCGGCATGCCCATGAATATAAGGGTGAAGTGTATTTTGTGCGGCTTTGAATCTGATCGGTCGAAAACGGAAATTCTACCTGCCTTCCAAGGATATTTATGTTAAATCTGGAAGTTTTAGTAAAACGTACATTGAACTAAATTTGAAAAACCGGGCCCAAGTGTGAGAGGGTGTGCTACTTAAGAACGTAATTAGTTTTGGTTAGTTAGTTGTAGTTCTCAAACTTCATTTTGTGTGTCTATTTTGTGCCACTACTTCCTGTCACTGTTTCGAAAATGACACACCGAACATAACAAAATTTATTTCAAAAGTTGGTTATATTTTGTCCAATTTTGAAAATATGTTTTTTTTTCGAAAAATTCCTATTTTAATTTATTTTTTTTTTTTAACAAAATTTTCATTTATATTTGAACGCCATTTGTTGTGTGTGTTTTTGTAAAAATGCCCGAAATGACAGGAAATTTTGAGTGTCAGTAACCAATTATAGTTGGCAATGGAAATGTTAACCCAGTAGATTAGCCGATTATAGCATGCGAAAAGTGTCATGTTATCACGTCAGCTTCGTTTCCTGTGACTGCGAACCACTGCGGACATTTCCGACATATTACCTCACGGGTTTGGAAGCTATCGGATGTTTTCGGAATTATTAGCCGCGACTTGAATTTCGATGTTGGTCAATTCTGACGGCATATCGGTAAATTGCGTCAATCATTCATGTTGTTTTGCAAAAATGTACCCTAAAACCTGTGATCCTCATATGCAACACTTTTTAAGTCACTTGTTGCATAATATACTATTTCTGACCTACCTCTCTTTTGTTCTATTTTCCATTCACTGGAAGAGTTTGCAACAGGCACGTCGCTTTTGAAATTGTGAAACAAATCGCTAATTTTATGGATGAAATAATAAAAGCTACTTCTTCATCACTTGGAAAAGAATAATTTTCACGTGAAAATTGCTTTAAAAAGCTTTCGGGTTTCATCAACTCACATAATTGAATAAGCAGCCTCGAACACAAAAAATATTGTTATAATACTCTCTAGTGCATACTCATCAAAACATCTGTTATCATGACAAGCAAATCGCAAAAATAAAAAATAAAATAGAAACCCCGGGGGACGGAAACTGACGGCGCGCAGGGCGACTTAGGACATATTAAAAGAATGCACAGCACAGAAAATGAATAATCTAATCACTTAATTGAGTATGAAAATGGATCCAACGATCCGCAAACCATAGCTAATCAAAAATAAACTATCGGAGCTACTCAAAATGCAGGGCTTTTATAAAGCCAAAACTATCTTCACCGGTTCGCGTTCTGTTCACTTCGAAAAAATATCAAACTTGATTATAACTGATTAAACTAGGCCGAGAAATAAAACGAGTCAAAAATAAACATTCCACAACACCCAAAACTCAATTTCGAAAAATATCGACCACTTAAAGCTGACATAGGTATGTTATTAAGTATTTTTTAATGCTAAACTAAATTCTCGATGCAGTTTATACGGTATCCATTATTGCGTAGTTCTAATATTAAAATTTAAACACTGAATAAAAAAATGACAAGCACTTCCGAGGAGTTGACCTAGAGGTGCATAAAGAAGACTCCCCATCTTTTCAAAATTCTTCGTGAAAATTTGTCTGAGTATATTCAAACCCTCACTAGGAAGAAGGAATTTAAAAAAGAAAATCCGTCACCGCTGACGTGAGGAACTTTTTTCCACCATCAATTTTTTTCTCATTTTAGGAACTATAGCATTCCACAACAACCCTTATCTATGTATCAGCGAAATCCAAAGACTGAAAAAGATGACTAACGTAACATACACGTCCATGGACGTTTCGTTTTACTCCAATGGCGATAAAGCCTTTAACTGTGGTGAGGAAAAGGACAGCGATATGGTAATAGATCTGATAAAAATGGGTGTCAAGAACGTCACCTTGACTTGGAAGAGGAGGAAAACCGACAACGTATTATACTACAACGTTTATTATATTGGTAAGTTGTTTACATTTGATTATTTACTTATATTTCAGGAATTTCAGCAATTTACGAAAATAGCTCCAATTAGAAAGATTTTAACGGACCTTATTCTTATTCTTGAAACCATCACTTTTGCTAAAAATGTTCTGTCCGATTCCGCAAATTCAAGAATCGATACTAAAGCATTATCTGTCATGATAAAATCCTGATTTTTTTCTTACATCTTCCAATACTAACCATATTTTATTTCTCATTTCAACAAACTCTGACCAAACTTTTAATGCGTTTATTTACTGGCTTGACCTGGCCCGATCCTCGACAAACATAGACCTTTAGTAAAGAATCGCCAGAGTATGACCGTAAAAGTTTATTTAGTCCGGACGTGAAAAAAGGAAAATTTAAAATTACAAAACTAAATTTCAATAAAAAAGTTTTCTTATAGGGAAAAAAGGGGTATAAACATGCTTACCGTCAGGAAAATATTTTTACTTATTTCTTGTACTAACTATATAGAATAAATAAATTCAGTTTTAATTTGCAATAGAAAACATTTTATTATTATATTATCACATAAGCGTAGGTATGAACTATATTTTTTAAAAACTTAAACATTAATTCAAAACAAAATTTCTTTGGTTTAGTAGAGCCAAAACAAACAAAAAAATTACATATATTTGTTCATGATAACTTTTTCTCTTATTCTTTGTAACAAAAGAACCTCATTTAAGCCATTTTCCTTTGCCCATTAAATTAAAAGAACTTATAACATCACGTTGTTCAACAGGAGTAGTTTCACTTTCCACTTCAGGACTTTCTTCAAGGTTAAATGAATGACTTACCTCGATTGTTCCACTCGCCCATTCCATAATTTCTACTAATTTATAATCATTAAATATCGAGTTATACAACTTTGCCAAGGGAAACCTGATCCGAAGGGAAAAAAGATGTTTAAATGAATTTTATATAACTGACATGGGAATTTCATTCCATCTAAGAGCGCTTTAGATTTTATTATTTCATTTGGAACCACATTGTTCAATAGTCGCCGCCCCAAGAACCAAGAGAACCGTCGATTTCACTATAGTTTATTGTCGTCGTTCGCTTAATCTCACACTGGCTCGTGTACCTTTTGGATGCATATTGTTCTAAATTTTCTTAATTTTTTTACTCTGCTTATTGTAGATTTTAACAGCTTCACATTCGTTACAACAATCCTTACTTTTCTTACCATTTTCAATGTCCTTTAAAGTGGACGGTTTATCTTTTAAGGATATTGAACGTCTTTTTTGCTTTCGATTCATATTTTATGGTTGAGTTTAAAGCACAAAAATATTAATCGATTAATTAATTAACAGAAACTATCAGAATTCAAGTAAGTATTCTATTTAAAAGAAATTCATTTCAATACTGGCAGCACAAAACACTTTCAATTCAAACATAATTTTTTACAATTTGAAGTTATGTTGTCGTGATTTTACTTCCGAATTGGCATAAACTTTTTTCGAATAGAATAAAAAATGTTCCTTACATAGAGCGTTCACTGTATTTTGACTTATTTCAATGTAAATCAAACGCACAGTATTCCATTATAAAGTATAACGTTACACTGTGTATGGCCAATTATATATAAGTGGTCTAAAATCCCTCCAATCACCTTAGAAATGGCTAGTAAATTGTTACTCGAATTTGTATGAAAATTAAATATTTGCTTGCATATTCATTACTGTAAAAGCGTTGTTTATGTGCCATGCAGCCATCAATCCAAGCAGTTCATACTAACGTAGGTATCTCTAATAGCCCGTAATGCGAGTCGCTCCTTCAGTGTGCTAACCAAATTGTTTGTGAAAAAATACTTGTAACTGATATTAAGCAAACGTAATGAAATAAAGCATAAACCAGTTAAGACAAGTTTATTAAGCGAATGGTTTATCTCGCGCACAGAATCTGAAAACCCTCCGATTACTTCATGGATCAGGTTACGGCCCAACGACGGATTAAGACGAGATAAACTTAATTAAAATACCCATTTCCTGTGTGAAAACGATTCCTGGAGTTCCTTTAACATTTAGGGCTAAAAAGATTTTGAGTTCCCCCATCGGGTTTCCCTTCAACTCCCACAAGCTAGGTCCATAGAAATATTTACAGGCTGTATCATGTATGATTTTAGGTTTGAAGCCCAAACTTCTAAATATAAATAATAAAATCAATAGATATCTCAAATCGAATTTCTGACGGAAAGTGACATAAAGAATAATAACAATACACTATCATCTAAGAAGGGATACTCTTTCATATAACGTTAGAACCATCAGGCAAAATCCATCCTATTCCGAGTTATAACTTGGGACTATTTGAAACATTTCTTTATTACGTTGTCCAGCCTTACCGTCATGCAGGATTTTGAAATTGTTGGGATATTTCCAGCGCGCAGTATCGAAGATATAGCAGAGCTGGACCTTGATCCGGACGGCTGTACGGAAGACGATTGGGACAGCGTTACCACTACAGAAGTAACGGCCACTCTGCCGAGACTCAGACCCTTCACGTCGTACGTGTACTACATCAAAACTTATTTAGTGTCCAAACCGGGACAGGCAGTTATCAATTTTGAAAATAGCAAGCTCAAAAATTTTACAACCTTACCCGATGATCCAGACGAGCCTTTGTTTTTTGAAGGTTGGTGAGCCGCGGCTGTTATTTTGAGAAAGTGGTTAAGAAATGTCTGTTTCTGTTCTTTACGAATACTCCTTATGACAAAGTATTATTTCTGTCTTAATAAATATGTTGTAGACACCATGAAAAAAAATCTAGTCGTGACGTAATTGTTTGTTCCAGTTGTACCGATTAGTTACCATTCGGTGAATTTAACGTGGGATCATCCAAGAGTAACAAATGGTATACTGGAACGCTACAACATTAGTGTCAACCTCATGGCGCATAATAAAATTGAACGAGACTACTGCAGGCATCCCATGACGTAAGTGTTCTAATGTTCGTCCATTAGTACATTTCTAAATGAAATCTTAGCGAATTACTTCCGTAATATTAATGAGATCTCAGTGTAATGTAATTTGCTTTTCTTTCCAATTCGTTCCGATGTTTCCTCTGATCTTTTATTTGCGACGTTATACCGCGTTGGAATATTAAAACCTCCTACGTTTTCGCCAGGCCGGAAGGCGAGAAAACGGACAAAGACGATTTTATGGAAGAGGACGAAGAAACGGAAGAAGTAGTTCCGTCTAAATTAGACGAATGTCAAAGCGAACGCAAACCGCAATCCGAAGAAATCGATTTCGTGCTATTAATTCATAAACACTTGCATCTCTGCGACAAAAACTCTCAGTCCAAATACGGCTACGATCAGTGCAATAGATACGTTTACGACACCGGCATGGGAAAACGCGCTGACGGAAGCAGCACCTATCCGCAGGCGCGGAAATCACTCTACGCTTTTCCAGACAATCCGACGCTCCAAATAGACTACATAACGGCCAACTCTACGTATCACGTATTAGAGAACTTGCAGCATTTCAGTGATTATTTATTTTATATGCGGGTGTGCAATAAGAAAGTGGACGAACGCGATTTGTGCAGTCCGATATTATCCGATTTCGTACGAACGTATCCGAAACCGGGAGCCGACGATATACCTCACGTCGATGTTAGCGTCACCCTCGACGGCGACAACGAGGGTACAAACAATGTAACCGTAAGTTGGCAAGAACCAAGGAATCCCAATTCGGCCATAATTTCGTATTATATTCAGTATTATCGTGAATCGGAACATTCCCAGCCAGAATCGATTTGCGTATCTAGGGAGACGTATCTGAAAGAACGGAAACACGTCATACGGAATTTAATACCCGGTCAACGTTATTATTTAAAATTGCACGCAGTATCTTGGGCGGGACCGGGAAACTATACCAAAGAATACAAATTCGATATCAGACGTCCCGGGACGAATCCTTTCTGGACTATATTCGTTGTTACTTTGTTCCTGTTACTAGCGATCGTTTTCGTATTGTTGTATCTTCGTTATAAGAAGAAATATAAGCTCAGCGATGTTCATTTGATAGCGAGCGTGAATCCCGATTACGCGGGCGGTGCCGTCTACATAGAGGACCAATGGGAAATGGAGCGGAGCGATATCGACATACAGAAGCTGATGGGAAAAGGTAGTTTTGGCATCGTGTACTACGGGAAAATTATATCGAAAGAGATACCTTGCGCCGTGAAGACTGTCCACGAGAACGCTTCTGTACAGGACAAGGCTGATTTATTTACAGAAGTTTCCATTATGAAGTCCTTCAGTGGCGCTCACCATGTCGTCAAGCTTCTAGGTAAGCAGGTTATTTGCGTAGTCCGTTTTCTTTTTTGTTCTGTATTACAACTGTTATCCCTCTCTCTCTCTCGGTGTGACAGGGAGTTCAACACAGTCTATGGTGTAGTGTAGCCTATGGCGATTTATTTTTCTTTATCTTTAGAGGGAATTTCTCGAATAGAGCTTTAGCCGCTACAAGGCGTTCAATACGACTGACCACCGTCTCTTATCCAAACTTCCAGAGACCAGTAATGTGCTTTCTGTGACCCGAGACTCTATTCTTGGTCCTCTCTTTTTTATAATCTACACTTCAGAGGTTCTTAAATGTGTTATCTCAGGAAAGGTGATAACACACAGCTTTAGTATCACTTTTCTTGCAGTGATTTTAATACTTACACTAAAGGATATTTCCGAGCAACACGCTTTAAAACTGAATACCTCCAAATCCAAAATTTGCTATTTGGCAAATTTGAGTAATTGTATTGAAGGCCACAATTTAACATTTGGTGAAATGGTGCGTTACCTTGGCGTCCTGCTTGACTCCAGTTTACTCTTTACAGAACATATAAATATTTTTAGCGAAAGGCCATATCGCATATATCACACGTAGGCAACTTTGCTCCAGTCGTTATTTTCTAAGCCCCAAAATGAAAGTTACATTGTGCGAGGCAATAGTACTCTCTCATTTTAATTACGCAAGCGTTATCTACGGCCCCTGTCTTCCGCAGTGGAAGTAATAGCGCAATGCGAAGATGCATAATAGTTGCTGTCGTTTGATATTAAACCTGAAAAAATAGGATTATACAGCACATACAATCAATGACCTTCAGCGGTTGAACATGTTTTATCGAAGGACTTCTCATTTGATTGTTTTGTACATCCTCTTGCAAAAAAACTTTTTTTTGATTTCGAAACACTTAAAAATAAATTCCAACTGAACTGTGATACGCATAAATATAGTATATTATGCAACAAGTGCGGTAAACGGCATTTGACTCACGAGTTTATTTGACGCGAGGGGAGCGAGTGTTTAATAAACGAGTGAGTTAAAAAGTTTACCGAGCGTGTTGCATACTATAGTTTTTCTACGACCGTTAGTTTTTGGATACATTTCGCAAAACAACGCGAATACATTCACCGTCAGAATTGACAAACGTCAAAATTCAAAGCGTGGGAAATATCTCCGAAAACATCCGACTGCTTCCAAATCCGTGCGGTAAAATCCCGGAAATGTCCGAAGTAGCTCGGATCCGTAGGAAACGAAACTGACGTAGTAAAGTGACGCTTACCGCACGCTAGATCGGTGGGTAATTAGGTATTTTACAGACGGGAGTAGAAAAAATAAATTACAACAGAACATAAAAGAAGTTTGACTTATAACAGCATTCAACTTTATAATTCATTGCCATATGATTTAATAAATCATAATGTTGAAAAATTTATTTTTCTTCTTTTAATTTTTTTTTATTGGTTTCAGTTACTAGGCATACATTTGCTATTATAGTTATTAACCAAAACTTCTGGATTAAGTTTGAATAGACTTAAGCTAGACTTCGCTCTGTATATATTTATATTGTTTGAATATTTATACTTTGATTATTATGAATAAAAGCGATTATTATTAGTTTTATTATTACGAATAGCTTTGTTCCAATCGCAGTCAGAAACCTATTTGGGACTGTAAATTCTTGTCACTCGACTGATTTTTTGATAAGATGAATGTTTTAGGCCTCACAGAAAAATAAATTGAGAGTCAGACTACGGTTGAAACAAAGCTATTACTATTACATACATACATGGGATTTTTTTATTTCTAAGGGATGTACCAATTTCCTTGGAAATTTGGCATACCAATAAATAGATTCCAAATAAATGTTGTCGATATTGTTACATCTCCCTCTATTTTCAGTTGCAATTTTCGAATAAAAAATAAACCAGGTCTCGTTCTCACCAACTAACCAAATGTAACTCACTCACTCACTCTTGCGTATAGACAGGATCTCTATGTATCCCCAGTAGCTATATATTATGGAGGCTGCTATGTGTACATCTAGATCTGAGAGTGTAAGATTAGTGGACAAATTTATTTTAAAAACTTCGTAAACTAATAAATTTTTGGAAGCTCCACGCAGTAAAGCCAAACAACAAAATGTATGGAGAGTGCCGATTGGGACAATTTGAAAGCCTTTAATTGGCTGTAAAGGAGGCGAAAACTAATGTAGGTGTCCGGAGAGCAATTTCCAAATGGGTATTTAATACCATTTCAGAGTTACAAACGGTTTTTCGAAGAAGTGAGTTTGTTTTTATGAAAAATTATGTATTTCTGTATTATGAATTTCTGCACATTTTAAAATCATTGAAATAACCTTTCCAAAAATATTTTCCTTTGATTGTGTTTTCTTAGCTTATATTTTGGTATCCACTTTTATGTTCAATACGTTTTCCAATTTTTGAAGGTTTTCCACCTTTGTTGATTTGTTATTTTCATATGACAACACAATTAGAAAATATTTAGAAAACAACAAGTCTTGAAAAATTGAATTGTTTAATGAATTTTATTTCCAAAGTTTGCAAAATCAGCATTTGTCGTTATTCTAAAATACATCGTAAATGACTTTTTCTGCGGTATGATGTTTGTTTGACGAAAAAAAAAATTATTTTTAGTATTTTAATGTATTTATTTGTGAATTCATTCTGTAAGTTTTCCCTATAATTTCGAAATAATTAATAAATTATTTATAAAGACGGCCAACATAAGGAAAGTTGGAGAAAATTAAGTATTCGGTAAGCGAACGGCCATGTTGAAAGTCAGCTTTGATATCCTCATTTTGTCGGAAGTTTAATTGCGGAATGCCGCATTTTCGACAGAGAAAATGGTTACCGCAATTTCGTGTAGCGACTGTAATTGGCGCAAAATACGATGACCAGGATTTTCGGTTAAAAGTTTTGACAGAAATGTCGATTTTGGTTTTGGTGTCACTTTCGAAATGTTGCCTAAATTTAATTAAAGTTTTCTTCGACTGCCATTTACAAACAAATAAAATAATCATGTCATCAAAAATATATCCTATGTTCTTTTGTGTGTCTCTCGACACGGCCATTGTTTAAAACAAATTATTCCACTTGACACAGTGTTTTAGTTGCGATAGTTTTTTGCCATTGGACTTGTTGGCAAGAAATGTTAGAGACCGCAGGTTAAGACTTAATTGATACGTATGTTTTATTAAACAAAAAAAATGAATTTTTAAGTAGAATGTACAAAAAAACTTGGAAAAGTCTATTTGTCTGTAATTTTATTGACCTAAGCTCTGACATTCAGGCGTCCGCACATCTTCACTGTCTCCTCCAAAACAATCCTGTACTCTCGATGAAGTACTTTGCATTTTTCCTCTGGCTCAATGAATTGAGCTCCTATTGCGCTGCTATTTAAAAGATTATTAGTATTTTTTTCCTATTTTAAACACATTTTACATGTGGTGTCTTCGCCGACCCTCATGATATGGAGGCGCCTTGTTAGATGGCAGTGCTCTGTTACGATTCCTACCATTTATTCAGCTGGTGCTCAGCTGTGACCTAACCCCTCCTATGGAGACATGCATTTAAGAGTGTTAATTTTTCAATGGCACTCTTAAATGCACTTGAAACTAAATAATTGAAGCGCAACTTTCCCTACGTAGGTGTGGTATCCCGAGGACACCCGCCACTGGTGATTATGGAAATGATGGAACGTGGTGATTTAAAAGAGTACCTGAGAACTTTTCGTGATTCTTCGCAAGATCTTACGGTCAACGAAATCTACCGCATGGCAATCGAGATAGCCGACGGTATGGGTTATTTATCTGCGAAAAAGTTCGTGCATCGTGATCTAGCCGCGAGAAACATTATGGTGGCCGGTGATCGTACAGTGAAAATAGGAGATTTCGGGATGACGAGAGACATTTACGAGACTGATTATTATAGGAAAGGTACTAGCGGAAGATTGCCGGTGAGATGGATGGCACCGGAAAGTTTGGCCGACGGGGTGTTTACGTCCGATTCGGACGTCTGGAGCTACGGCATCGTGCTGTGGGAGATCGCCACTCTTGCCGAACAACCGTATCAAGGTAAGTGTTGCAGCAACGCTATGACCGAGTCTTAGTCAGACAATAACCAAAGTTTAACTGGCAAACATTTCGAATTAGCAGTATATCGGTTCTGCTAAACTAAGCGATTTCACAACAGCTTTCTAACCTAGAAATCAATTTTTTATATCTATATGTACAATGTATGTACAAAGTTTTCTGTGGAATCGTTATTTTAAACAAATTTCCAAGTTAATTTAGATGAGTATACTTCAGATGAGGATTTCAATGAAATTTTTCAAATGATTGTCACTGGCTTATTCTTTGTTTACCTTCCACCATATCGATATTTTTAAAGATATCCAAAAGGCACTTTCTTGCACTTTTTTTGAAAATTTTCAACACGCTTGTAAGTATTTCGGGTAAGGGTTTTAGCGGAACAAGTTATTGCTGAAGTACACTTGGGCCTGCAGCCGTACTTGTTTGTTGTTTAGGCGGAAACTCAACATTTCAGTTTTACTTCCCAGTATAGCCAGGTCTTCTGATAGCACGTTATCAGCTTCTCCTATGATTTTACTCTGGGTTGTTAGGGCCAAATCGTCGCTATACCCGAAATGTAGACATTGAACTAGACAGGTGCAAGAATCGAGCCCTTGAGGGGGGTGGGGTTCATTATTTATCTGCTACTATTTGAAAACCGAGCCATAAGCCGCGATCAAATCAAGCTCTGGGGTGTTTTCTAGAATTTTGTCCAACCCCGGCGCTCTGCCAGACTTAATGTCCTTCAGGGCCTTAACCACCTTTTCAATGATGATAGGTCTTGAGTAATCCGGGGGGGCAAACTAGTTCGCGTCTGAAGCAGAAGGTTTCACGTGCTAACTCTAGTAAACTAAAGCAAGCCAGTTTTTGATTTTTGTGCAACTCACTTGGATAAGCTTTGGTTCAAATTTGATTCTAGATAAAAGAAAGACTCCATTTCATTGTCTCTTTGCACACAACTGGGTACATGATACGGTCGAATCGTACTGCCTTCAAAGTGTTGACAAAACGAGCATTGTTTTGTGATTGTTACGTCGATGCACAATCATTTTTAATTTATATTGTTGGCTATTTGGCACCATTACGATTTTACTTTTATTTATCTTATTTATATCGAACTGCTTGTAGCAAGTTGCAAAAGGAAAACAATGCAGTTCTGCCTTAGTTTATGGGACAAAAACGAGTCTAGAAATACCACCAATGCACACTTTATATTTTCCTTGTTGCCACAAGATGTTTAGGTTGGACCAGTTATACTATCTTATCTATCAAAACGGTGCGAAGGGTGCGTGTACCGTTTACACATTAATAAAATTATTTTCAGGTTACTCGAATGAGCAGGTTCTGCAGTTAGTCGTGAAAAAGGGATGCTTGCGCCGTCCACCCCAGTGTCCAGACATGCTTTACGAAATCATGTACAGATGCTGGGAGTGGAAGCCCTACGAACGACCCACATTTTTCGACATCGTCGAAAGATTGGAGAAACACGTGGGTTTGGATTTTAAATTCGTCTCGTTTTATCACAGCAGGGAGGGCGAAGAGTACAGAATAACAGCAGGACGGGAAAGGGTACACAACGCCCCTGCTCTTCTGAGTGGTACGTAAACAAACATTTATTTATGTACAATTCCCAGGGAGCACAGGCTCGTCAAAGTGACGTCATTTTCGAGTCATAAATGGTCGCTACTCGTCAGTGGTTCTAAAAACATGCCAGATTGACGTCAAAAAAAGCATGTCTTATTAACATCACAAAAATTACCTCTATTTAAAACCAGGAGATTATATTTAGTGGGTGTGTAAAATATATAGAGTAATTCATAAATATATGGGAAATCAAACTTATATTTTTAAATAGAACACCCTGTATAATATAAAATTAATAGATACTCCCTTTTATACTCATCACCTAATATAGGGTTGTATGGTCTATATTGAGTGTCTTCAGATTTATGGCCATTATTCTTTTTTTTTTTGAAGTTTATAGCTCTATGTGATTTAAAGCGGCAATTTTTTTCGATTTTATACAAATAAAACAGTAATTTAGTATTTGGATTAAAGTTTTTTCCGCTCATTTGGCAACATGGCAATATTAGACATGACTTATTCACTATTCAATTGTATTATGTCGTTTGCTTAGTTTTGGTTAGTCATTTACAGTCGTAACATGCCCAAATATTAAAATCGTAAGTTTCAAGACTTTTTCCGTATCCGTTTAACGTTGTAGGAATGGTTTCTGATGGTGATCCCGATTTGTCATCATCGGACGACGAAGATCCGGAACGAAAGCTCTCCGATAGTCCGCAACAGGGCTACGGAATATCACCAGGCAGCCCCCGTCCCGCCCGCTTTTTAACGGTAACCAGTCAAAGAAAAAGCAGAATGTCCGGTAACTTTTACTGATGCCAGTGCAAAACTAGACGTTAAGTAGACGCCGGGTTATTTTTTTATGTAAAGCAATATATACCGCTATTTTTATACCAATCGAAAATGTGAGTACCTACAGAGAACAGTAGAGTACAACGTGTTGCATAATTTGTATGTCCTGTTTTGTTAACGCTGCTGATTAGGAGATTTTAACATTAATTAAGACATTAGAATTATATCTAAATTATATTGGCGAATTATTGCTGCGGCGTGTTTCCTTAGAGTTTGGAGCAAAGCAAGCATTTCAGCTTATTCCAGGGCATAAATGATATGTTTAACGTTTATATCGCGTCAAGTCTTTGCTTAACATGAGGATGTTTTTCAATTGAATCTCCAGTGTATTTAGTTTAAAATTGTGCGAAATCAAACTTATATTTGATATTATGACATTAGTCCTAAATACTCCCTTTCATACTCAATCACCCAATGTAGGGTTGTTATGGTCTATACTGAGTGGATCTACGGCCATTTTTTCGTCAAAAATATTTAATACCCCATATTTTTCACCCCGTTTCAGTCAGTGTAATTTTATTATGCCAACAATTTTGTAAAGTGGTACAGTCATTTATCTTATACTCGTCTATTCGTTTATACCGGGTGAATCAAAATGAAAAATATTAATTTTCGTGAGACCCTGTATATTATACTTCGATTTTTTTTTAAGGTTCATCTTTACTCATTACCCAAAATTCTCCATTTTCCGCAACCGCAAAAGACCTTTTGTGTAATTTAAAGCGACAGATATCATTCGTCTTATATAAAGTAATTTTCGTCATTTGGTGGCTAGTTAATGACGTCATTTTGACCACCCTCTGCTACCGTCGTAATCTCGGACGAGAATAACGCAGAATTAAGAATTGTATGACAGCATTATGTAGATACCTATGTGTTTACTTTAGGTTATTTTATGTAATTTCTTTACTCCATACTTTAAGGAAACATATGACAGCATGTAACAGCAAACAGGGACGGAACTAGTACAAAATGTTAAATATGAAATTAATATATATTGCGAAAAATATGTTCCACTTAAGATTGAGAGCTTTTACCAAATAATTTTCGTCAAAACTGAGCCCATATTATTTATATAACTAGCGTATGTTTTGTACCTATGGGTATTTCTTATATTTTTAAGCCCGAAAGTGTGGTTTGTAATGCAAACTACAATTACTACAATAATTTTTATTCTGCCGCCTCTCGGCACCAACTAGCTAACAAAAAAAATTCGGGTGATTTCCTTACAAGATTATTTGGGAATATGCCCAAAAGTATATTACCCCAGTGCAATGGCTTCTAGCGGACAGCTTCAGCTCGAAAATAGTGTTCTACGACTCTTTGTGCAAGATCCTAGCGTTTGGATTTTTCTATAATATGCTAATGTGTTTTTTTTTACTGTAATACTATACAGGGTGTGTGAAAATACTCCGTTAGGAACACAAACCTGAAAACTGCCCTACTTTTCTACTTTTAGTATTTTTCCAAGGTATTTTACTTAGCATGGCATGGTGATCCTAGCTGTTCTTAATTTAATTACAAATTTAGGGTTAGACAATTGGGCCACTTTGAATGACTTGTGATATAAATTTCCAAAAATGAATATCGTAATATCATGTTGACTGTAACTTATAGAATAAATAAGAGCTGAATGTAGTTTTTGTTGTTGCGTAGGTAACGGTTGGTAACCTACAGCAAATATGTTTTTTGGTAGTCTAGCACGGTGTATACAATATGTTTTTTTCCTAAATTAATTTAATGAATCTGTAATGTATATATTATGCGTTAGAGTTAGAGACTGTGAACTGAATATTACCTCCGATCTACCTTCAATTATTGATAAGTAAATTTTTTATATTTTTTTATGAATGACTCGTTTTTTATTTTTGTTTGTACATTATGTTTGTTAAAGTTTTCCATGCCGAATAAAATCTGGGAATTTTAACCGCCCATGGATGAAATTTTTAACAAATGTTTGCGCCAATAAGTTTCTGTTTAAAAGTACAGTGAGTATAAGTATAATATTTAATTTTTTGTTACTCTTCGTAAATAATTACTTACAAATAGAGATTCTCACGACTGAAACAAGATATGCAAAGTAAAAGCTGTTTGGAAACAATTTTTGCAGTACATTTAATATGTTAGACACAAGTTTTAAAATATAGATATTATAATCTGATGCATATATAGTTATAGTTCTCCAAACTGTATACCGTTTTTCCGACATAATCCGGTATTTAACTTTAGTACATTTTTTTATGAAGGTCGACCCGCGGTACTTCTTGCATCCAAATGCTGGAAGCTGACGGATTTATGTAGCGTTTCATCGGTGAGACTCCTCGATATTATTAGTCCATGCAGTGAAAAATCCATTCTTTTACTCTTAAAATACAATAGTCTGCACGGCACAGTTCTTGTCGGTTAATATCTTAAATACGGCAGTGGCTTGTGGTACAAGTGCTGAAAAGAGTGGTCTCGTCCGTTTTAAACTCGTTCCGGTATATATTTTGGAGAACTCTACCAGATTCATCATTCAATATGCGCATTACCAATAAGATTTAACGGCATTCAACAACGAACATGGCCGCTGGCAGTTCGTGAATTTGTCAGTATTTTTCAAAATATGCCTAGATCATAGAAAAAACTAATAAAAAACGCACTTGTAGATTCTATGGTAAATATCGGAACCGTATTCGCCAGCCCCACTATGAGCTACAAAAACTTAACTTACTGGCATTAGGGGGCGCGAAATTTGATCAAAGACAGGTATTTTAGAATTCTAAAGAAGAGTAATAAAATTTCCAATACACACATAATGTAAGTGATCGAATTATTGGAAATTCATTTGTTATTATAGGAAAAGAAAAAGCATTTCATTTGGCTATACAATGACATCATTTCCCATTTACCTTTGTCTTGAAACATAGGTACATACATAATAACACATGGTATAAAACAAAACAATAATAAACAAAATGATTCCTAATAAGAATGGTCGCTAGAGTAATCGAATAATGTGGGAAACAATAATTCCCGAGATAATTCCTGAGATTATTATGTAAGAGTGAGTATATTTATCCAACAAGTGCGCTAAACACACAAAACAAAACACGAACCCAGCCCAGCGGAGCGAGTAACTGGGTTAAATAAGCGAGTGACTTAAAAAGTTTACCTCACTTGTTGCATACTACTTTTTCTACTATCGTTAGTTTTTGGGTACCATTCCGCAAAACAACACAAATACTTTCACTGAAATGACCGTCAGAATTGACAAACATAATTCAAGGCGTTCGGAAATACCAACGAAAACATCCGATTGCTCCCAAAATCCCGGAAATGTCCGAAGTGGCTCGGATTCGTGGGAAACGAAACTGACGGGGTAAAGTGACGCTTCGTGAACGCTAGATCGGTGTGTAATTAGGCAATTTACAGACGGGAGTAGAAAAGTTATTTATAAATAGTTTACATTTAACATTATAAATAGTTAAATCAAACAAATTTCACACACTTTTAGAGATAATGCAAACCATATCCGAATACTAAACAGAAATAGACAAAATAGGAGATAAAGTACACCTCCTTTGAAACACGGCTGCGATTTGTTTACATACACATTTTTGCTCTCTCAGTCTTTGTAACAATATCCAAAAAGAACTTTTAACTTTCAAAAAAAGCACTTTTCTGACATAAAAATAAGCCACAACACACGTAGTACAAGACGCACGTGAAACGGAGATTTAAAACTCCCCAAAACTGACGTATTGTACTAGCACATTAGAAAAAGTCATTTAATAAGCGCGGTATTTTTGACAGATAAAAATTGTTAAAAATGCAAGTATTTTTAACTAGCAATTTTTTGGTAGTACACGCGATGCAATTTTTTTGAGCAAAATGAGTTTCATTATTTTTAGTGAATTTTGTTTTTAAAGGTTTGTTTTTTAAATTTGGATTCAATAAATAATGCTTTTTGTTAGTGTTAAATGGCTAAACTTTATGCAAAACTGATTTTTACCACGCGTATAGTAACTTGCCAATTTATAAGAAAAATTTATAGTCCCAAATAATAGAAACGAGAGAAATGAGGATGTTTGTTTAAAGTGCTGAATAAAATTCAATAAATGCTAATTATTTTAATTTTTGTATTCTGTAAAACTAATTTATATGCAATTCTCGTTTATATTTTACATTACTTACAATTTTTTAAACAAATTGTCCATTGCCATTTTTTATAATCCTTTTTTTTTGGAAAACGAAATTTTCATCTGGAATTACTAGACTAGGGGATTCTACAATTGCTTCTTGAATATTTTTTCCGCATAGATCTTTCCCGTGCGATATCTAGTATCTCATAAAATGATGTTTCAACTTTTAAGTCATCTTTCATGATTTCGAATTCGTTTACATTTTGCATGGAACCTATAAGTTTATGAAAACAAACGCTTTGCGCCGATTTACAAGCACAAATTTCTTACAATTTGATAGTGGACACGCTGCAATATTTACATGAATAAGTATATGCAGAAGTACATGTAGCAATTGCATACTGTGTATCGGGCTTTACAAACCATATCGCTTTTGTTAAAAATGAACTACTTGTTATTTTATAGGTAACATTTAATGAAATATTAGCAAAACATTTTGTTACGGCAAATTTCTAATTTACCTATGCTTTTGAATGAAAATTTTATTCCGTGTATGACCATTCTTTTGAAATGTGCGTGTTTAATAAGAAAATGGCGAAAGGTACAGGTTAGTGTGAAATTTCGAGGCATGCGATAATATGAGGCTCATCAATTCTCACCATACTACTTAGGGCCACTATATTAGTATCTGATACCTCCTTTAATAATAATAATAATAATCCAAGGGAAAAAATATATAATTTTTACCAAGTCAGTATATGCATCACATTCTAAATTACGCAAATAATTACTTTTATGACAAGTTACAGTTAGAAGAATAAATCCTCTTAAAATACCTCTTAAACTACCGATAATGAAATAGATATATAAATTGATGAAACCACAATTTACGCCGAGTTATCTATATAAATATCTATATCTTATCTATAAAAATATATATCTTAAAAGTTGTAACTTTGTCCGTAACCATGGTAATTGTCTGACACTATTGGACTCTCATGTACCAATACTGGAGCAGGGGATTCAAGAGCAATGAGGCCTAAAAACAAAAGTGTTAAAAAGTATTTCTTGAAAATGCAAATAACTTAGCCAGTATTAATCATAGAAAGCAAAATAAACACCTGCAGACTCTTCGGCGGCACCAACAACTCCACCCGCTTTCGGACCCGAAGCGACAGCCCCCGTATCTCCTCCACCGATAATAAACGTTCCGTCCGCGCCTTTAACGGTAGCTTTCGATCTTGGACCTTTAAGTAATGTTCCTGGTTCACCAGGGCCCACGAGCGCAGTATTTCCTAAAGGGAAACCTGATGACAAACATATAAGACTGAGGATAACAGCAATCTAAAAATAATTAAATAATACTATATTAGAAAAAAAAATTGTATGATGAATTTGTCTTACCAGCAGAAGGGTATTCATGATGTAAATCTAAGGTGAAAATGCTTTCAAAGTACGATTAAGAATGTCTACCAAGAATTAAATAGATATTTAAGGTGTGTCTTTTATAAGTAGAATTCAGCCTTCATTCTAAAAATTCATATAACTCGCTAATTTTAATAAAGGTGAATAAAAAATATTATGCAAAGTATAGGTAGATAAAGCTTTAATTACGCACATACAAAATATACAGTTAGAAGAATTGCGCAATAAATATTTAAAACGCAAAATGTATCGTAGATTCAAATGAAAGTCTGTAAAAAAATGTTCAAGTTCACAGAGTGTAAAACACACATTATAAATTCCCCATTTGGCAAGCAACCAACATGTCGTCAAATGGCCACTGTATTCTGCGGTTCCATTGACAGCTTTCAGCTGTGATTTTCAGTTAACTTAAATCGTCAAGCGAAAAAAATTAAAATAACATAAACCTAATCTTTGACTTATGGAATGTTACCAATCAATTAATTGGATATGGAGTCACAGGTGCATTTTACCTTTGAGCATCACCCTGCAGTATTTGAGTATCATATGATGAAAATATAAAACTGGAAACCAGTTAAAATCTCAAGGAGTGCAAAATGGAGATAGATGAACTTCAAATAGATGCCCCTTGGGGAATAATTGCTAGTAGGTGAAGTAGAGTTAAAATCTGATAGTTTTTTAGGTTAATTTGGTTTTAGGTCACCAAAAATATTTTTTTAAATAAACTTACCATACTAGTCACACTAATTAATAGAAATTTGGAAACCAGAATAATCTAGTATTTAATTAAATTTTTCACTGTCATTACACCTAATTACAAATCACATTACATATACATCAACCTACATAACCTACAATTCGCATTAGAATTTATTTTTATTTAGCTTTCTATTTCCAGTTAAGACCTGGGGAGATGCATCTGACCCCGCGTTACTCTGTTTTCATGGGGTTATGGACAATGCAGGGACATTCAACAGATTGATACCACTATTATCCAAGTCCTATTATTATATTGCTGTAGACTTACCAGGGCATGGAAAATCTAGTCACTTTCCTCCCCATTTGCCAATCCATTCTACTGACTACCTTTTGGCATACCAACTGGTGATCAATCACTTCAATAGAAAGAAGTATATTTTAATGGGACATAGCTATGGAGGTCAATTAGGGCTTCTCTATGCTCAAATGTACCCCAATAGAATAGATAAGTTAATTATGCTTGATACTTTGCACCTATTTCCAGTACCTTCACGCTATTTCAAAAATATTCTGGAAGAAAAGATACTGTTGCATCTTGAAATTGAACAGAAGTCAAAAATCAAAAGGCCTCCAATGTACACATTTGAGGAGGCAATACAGAAAATTAGACAAGGTAGGTCTTTTCCATTACGATTAGAGGCTGCAGAAGAGTTGCTGAAAAGAGCTTTGATACCAGCAGGAAATGGTAAATACTGGCTTTCATTTGATCAAAGATTAAAAAATTTCATTAATCCATTACATGACTTTAGATATGCCTTAGAAACGTTAAAGAAATTCCCTGTACACTGTCCAGTGTTGATAATTTTAGGCAAAGATTCAAAGGGACAGCAAATATTTTTGAAACCGTTCTTAGATTATTACAAAAAACAGAGCAATTTTGTTGTAATAATTGTGCCTGGAGATCATGATGTTCACAATAATGAGCCAGAAGAGGTGGCTTCACATATTGCTCAGTTTTTAATAGGTCAATCTAGCAGTAAACTTTAATATCTATGTTATTGTAAAAAGTGTAAAATATAAATTAATTATATAAGATATCTGAAACATTCAAACACATTAACCACTTCAACCGAAATTAGCTAATGTGATGTACCTATATTTTTGTTAATGTTAAATTGTACAAGTAAATGAAAAATGTAATATTAAAATGTAGTTTTTCTAAATAAAGTTAACCAATAGGTATGGAAAGTTATAAATTTTTGTTTTTTTTTTCAGAGGTCAAAACTGTAACATCAAGTAAAATGAACTTAATATTTAATAAATAAAGCTTTAACTGACATAACTAACTCAACAATTTCAAGCGCTTCCAGAGTGCAAACGATTTTAAGATTTTTAATTTTAATTAATTTTAATGCTTTGATCATGTTAGATATTTTGAAACGACCGTTTATGTGCTGTTATGAGGATTATTCCAAAAATTTATCTTGGCTGGAACGGGTTGCAGTGATTTTTGTGTTGTCGGTAAAAAAGATTCAAAAAAACCGATACCGACAACGGGCGAATGACCCTTCTACATTGTTCCAATTGATTGATCGTAAAATGCGAAACAGAGTATTTCCACAACTAATCTGTGGCTATCAGATTGTCACTATCAGTCGCTCACACGTCAAAATATTGGGACCACCAAAGTTGTTTATTTTGTTTTAGATCATATAGTAGCGTTTTTTTTTTTGGTTAGTAGATTTGCTAAAATTAGAAGCACGTTGAAGATGTCGGATGCAATTCAGGTTAGCTCTTTACCATTACCTCCTATGCAGTATGTAAACCAATACACGGATGAGTTAATAAGAAGGGGTAGAGCCCCAAAACCACCTCCCCCAATTACGGATACTTATCATATGTTCGGCAATGCCTTTAACACAGAAGAAAATATCATAAGGCCTTTAGAAAGTCAAGTAAGTTGGAAACTTTTTTCCCTATAAAACCGTTGGGTTATATTTGTGTGTGTGTGTGTGTGGCAGGCTCACATTTGTATTTATTTGTAGGGAATTAAAAGGCTTTATCCCCAACATTTCGATAGACGCAGAGAGTTAAAGAAATTAAATGCATCACTCTTAGCAAACTTTTTAGATCTTCTTGATTTACTTGTAAATTGTCCAGATTCTCCTAGAAGAGCAGAAAAGGTGGAAGATCTAAGTTTACTTTTCATTCACATACATCATCTGTTAAATGAGTTTCGGCCACACCAAGCTCGCGAAACTTTAAGGGTTATGATGGAACTGCAGAAAAGGCAGAGGATAGAAACAGCTAATAGGTAGTTTTTTTTTTCTAGGGCACCATTAAGTAGTCCACACAAATTAACAGGTCATGTTTTCCATTACAGATTTCAGAAACATTTAGATAGAGTGATGGAAATTCTTCAACAAGCAATTCAAAGTCTACCTGAGCTCATGGAGTTGGATTCAAAAATTATAGTAGAAACCGATTTTTTGGTAAAACAAGAAAAAATGGATAAAAGCGACTCAAGTAATGATCCATGCTGTATAATGGATAGAATAATGTGTAATATTGTTGACAACATGCAGTGACATTGTATAAGAATAGGGTATTTTGCCATAATGTATTTATTGTATAAACCTTTTATATAGTTTTGGCAAATTCAGTAAGAGCATACACAATCGAAGGAAAAGTGTTAAACTATTAGATATATGTGCTAGTATTTAAAGAAACTATAATATACTAAGTTTTATTACAGCTTTTTTATGAATTTGGAAAACAGAGAAAGGTTGTTGATTTTGCAATTTTATCGGAAAATCGGAAATGTTTTGTGTGAGATGTTATTTTCTTCAGTTTATATGAAAATACTGGATCTAAATAAAACTCATCAGGGAAAAGTAAATAAATATATCAATTAAGTTTTGTGCCTTGTAATTTTCAGAGTATTATGTTTATGATCATTCCCAGTGTGATAAAAGTAAAATATTATATTATTTGATCTAAAAATGTTGCATTTAGTTGAACAAATCAAAGTAATCGAGACTATTCCAGGGAGTAATGTGCCATAGATCATAGAATGGAAAGGCGCTGTTAAACAGCAGTAGTGGCGGCTGTATATTTATTTCTCGCAAAACATTTCACGTGAAAGAAAAATATTTATCTTGTTAGATTGATTTTTGATTGTTTTGAATTAATATTAAAATATATGTAGGCCAAGTCGCACCTATAAAAATGAAAAAATAAAGTACTTATATGAACGAAAGTAATTCCTATTCTTGGCAATTTGCCTATAACACTGAGAACAAAAACAAGGTTTACTTATTTATGGTAGAGTAACAAAAATTGATGGGTAAACATTTTTTGTTTTGTCTATGAGTAACAACTAGACTAAGGAGTTATATCATATTTTGAATTAGGTTTGTTATTCATTAATAAATTTAAAATTTAAATAATATCTATTTTGAGAATCTTTTTAACACAGCCATTATGGCCTGTATATGTAGATTACAGAAAATCTGAATCTGTTAATGTTAGATTGCAAATAATATCATTATAATCATAATTTACAGTCCCTCGTTATAGAAATTTATGTTTTTTCATTACATGTAGTAGTAACAATAATAATAATAATTTGCTTATTCTGTAGACAACGACAAATTTAAATTAAAAATAATACATCATATTTTGTACATCCACAAAATAAACAAATGCAAATTCTCCTTAAAACCCTTAAATTGTGCGGGATCACATATCATAAATTTACCCTGCCGCATATTGCAGAAAGTGACGTGAATAAATGTTTAAAGGAATTCCTACATAATTTATATAAAATACAAAATCTAACCTACAAAATAAACAAATTTTTAAACGCAAATATTGCTTTAAATTTGATATTGAAAACAAGCAAGTCTTACATGTAATTCTTAGTCTGTTTATTTTCGTTTACACTTGGTTTTTCTATTTACACATTTACATTTCCGCTGTTAAAATAGTCGTCGTCGGTAGTTCAAGTGAAGTTCAATATTTGCGTAAAACTTCTATAAGGGGGAAACGAAGAAGACCCGATTTAAATGTGTCACTTGGGATACAGCTCCCAAACCCTCGTTGATACGAAAAACAATTTCACATTCAAAATTTTTGTTTTTGTCAGCTTCGCGAAATATCTCAATTAGGTTTTTTTTTCTTCAAAATAATTATACGTTGCTGAAAAATAATTCACCAAATTTTAAGAGCAAAGTATGAAATAAAACTCCAAAATTTGTAAACGTGTATTGAATTGGGTTTATTTAAAGTAATTGATAACAGGTAATAATTAAATAATAATAGACCTAATATAAGTCTATTCAATAATAACGACCAAACAATACAGAGTATTAAAATTATAAAGCTAATGAAGTAATCTATCCCAGATGACTATTTTTACTCTATTTTGATAAATTTAGTTTACAATAAAATTGGTAAATAAAGCGATGATTTTTATTGCCAGATCTACGAAATGAATTCCGTCATAGCACACAGCATATGGTTAAAAAGAAGACACAGCTCAACTAGTAGGTTATTTATGCAAAATATTAAAATGCGGCAGTTCAAACAAAACTAACAACCGGCCTCAACGGGTATTATCTTAACTCCTACGTCCTATCACAGATATAAAAATAAATAAATGAGACGGGCTTTTTCTGTTTAAGCGCACAAGCCGCATGTGATTATCGAAAAGCAGCTCCTGAAAACAAAGAAAACTGATTAATGCCTAGTGTTTTTTGAAAACAGTGGTTATTCTCCAAAATATTTTTGGTAATTAATATGTAGGTATTTCTGTAATAAATAATATATCGAATTAAAAGTAATCCGCAATACAATATGTTGAATTATTCAATAATAGATAGGTGAACAAAAAAAAAAAACAAAAAACAATTAAAGTTATATTAGGTAGCTATGTTTATAGAAAAAATTAAAGATCCATTGTTATTATTTCATAAGTTGATCCTCTTGATCTAACTTAGGTACGCATGATTTTATATCCCTTACGTTTTAGCCATCGGCCATATATCTATAGAAACATAAATTCGCAACTTACCTCATCTGCGGCTTTTCATCGGACACAATAACGGTAACCCCATTCGTTTTCTCCTCCTTGGTATTCGCAACACCGTTCTTTTTATCGCCTTTCTTTTTGTTATCCTTCGTTTTCCGATCCTCCTGCAAAAAAAATATTCAAAAATATTAAAATTGGCATTCATATTCGGTCAACGTCGAAATTATTTAAACAGCTACGAAATTCTTCCTGTCAGGTTTTCCGAATGTAGATTGATATTTAGGCGTTCCAAAATATTAACCACCATTCACTTTTAATATAATGTGTTTAGAGAGTTTATAAAAAATCAATGAACAGTTTTTCATTAGGTGAGTTTTACACTGGCAAAGCTTACTGCACTTGTACGCACGGTGTTGCGTTTGAGCGCCCTCTAACGACCACATGGAAAAATGTGTTATTATTTAATTTTATCAACGAAACAATTTCAGACCAAGGTGCCCGTGAGTTGATTTAAATTGGCTCATTTTGGATACTAGGAATATGTGCTATAGTTTGGTACAGACCTTTAAAGAGACCCGGAGTATATGGGCACCGCTTTTATGAAATACTAGTTAATTACTGCATCACATTGGATGATACTATAATAAAAACTTGAAAAATAAACTAGGCCTTTTTATGATTCCTGTAAGTCACTAGTGCTTATAACTTATAGTTCGCTAGTGAATTATGAAGTAGAACACGTTAGTGAGTTATAGGGCCCATTATGCATTTAAGTGATAAATAAAAATCAAATACTGCTTTTGAAATAGACCTAATCACTTTTTACTTACTTCTGCCAGTTCTCCTATTTTGAGGGGCTTGAGTTGCTTTTTGGCGTCACTCGAGTGACCGAAATCGTCAAACGCTTTAGTGCAATCTTTGCCCGCCCATTCGGTGACTAATTCCGCACCTCCCGGATGCTGCAAAAAAAAAACATTTCGATCAATTTTAAATCATCAAAAGAAATTGTTTCTTTCCTTTCTTTTCTTTCTTTTGATTTTTCTTTTGTTACACTTTGATATATTTTATATTATTCTACCAAAACATAGCTATTTATGCAATAATTTTTGCAAAAATACCATTTGGTGTTTCCGAAATTTTTAGAAATATCCTTGACATATTTCTTAGTTTTTTTCCCCAAAAAAATGCTTCAATAAAATCCACGCGAGTATGCAGAAGACTTGTTTGTTTAATATCACTTTTCTCGATGAAATATTGGCTGGGAAATCCAATTCCAATCGCTTAAAAAGGTAAATTTAAACAAAAGAAAAACTGTATGCTGGCTCACGTTACGGAATGTAAATGAGTTTTATCTAGTGCTTCATTTACTTCGTTATTAATTTCGCAATTGAAATTTCCTCACAAAACCGATTACATGAGATACCGAGTTGATTGTTCACCGCGTGATTTTTTCAGATAGACAAAGGATTACAACTATACCACGGAACAACTAAACTGTGGAAGATGATCGACTCATTGGCTTTTCTTTGTTGGCTGCGTAAAGCAACTAATTCCTAGAATGCATTTAAAATTACAACATACCAATAAATGCAGATGTGTGACGAATTTTATCTAAGAATAATAGTGTTTTGGTAAATAGGATTCTTTCTATACATCACATGTCTAATATTAGGGTAAAACATAAAAAGAAAATGACATTTAAAGAATATTACAATACAAAAATATGTTCCATCGTTATCATCGTCTAAGTATTTTACAGGTAGTGTCCCAAGAATATACTGCCAACATTTAGGGGGTAATAAGGGATATACAAGATACCAGACGAACAAAAAATTTGACTAATCCAAACAATATTAACTAGCAAAACCAATTTCTTCAATTTTAATGTTAAGTCCTCCCATTTGCGGAAATGTTTGTTTCGATGTTTCCTATCACCCACACAAAGTGTGTCGATGTAAATTTCAGTCCCCTGGTATTTGCAGCAGAAAAGGTTTTTGATGGAAGAGGACTGAATTAAGTTCGTAGAGAGGTACTTCGAATGTTGACCAGATGTCACCCCAATCACTGGAAAGTCGATTTTATTGGACGATATTTGAAACATATCCTCTCATGCAAAAATAACACATCAAAGAAAAAAAATGCAACCATCCATATGAACATATTTTTCGTATCCTCTTCTCTAAGATGGTGGTAGTTATAAAATGTAATAACTTATTTAAATTTTACGAGAGAGTGCAAAATTTTGACTAAATGAAAATTCAATCTCACATTATACCATTAATTTATTGAACAGCTAAGAGGAAATATTAATCATCCAAGAATACTTAAATATGTATTAATATTAACATATCTTGTATGAAAACCATAAAATAGGGTAGCAAAAATAATTAAAGTTTTCAAAAACTGAAATCTCAAACGTAAGAATTGTATTCTATTCCTATATATGTAAAAACAAAAAAAAAAGAAAATCAGGTAATCGGTGATGCTATTAAAAAAAAAAGTTCGTCCTGCAGAAAATATAATTGCGTCATCTAGTACCAAATTTTCATAAATAATTTTCTGGTAACGAATGCATTTAATTGTTGAATGATTACTTTTTATTTGTGTTGTTGCAGACATCCGGTGTCTGATAAAATTATAACAATAGGTATTGGAGTGATTAGTAATATTTTATCGTCACTTATCTCGTATACGTGAGAAATTGGAAAACGAATGAAGTGCGGGTAGGCACTTCACAATTTGAAGAAGGTACTTTGACTGATCTGACGTCTTAATTAAGTTGATCGATATTGGATAATTCATATCGCAGATAATTTCGTTTTTCATTCATTCTAGCAATCAGGGCTTAAGTTTTATGACGAACATAAAATAAACCGCCGTTTGCTTAAAGCTTTAGAGTATATATATTTTTTTATATAACACCTTCGATTCGTCAATATTAGCCAAAGAAATTTTAGCGCAAAACTTTCTTAGACAGATAATTAATTAATTATCTGTAAAAATTATTAATAACATTTTTGTATGTACAACTTGCGAGCCATAGTAGACAGGCGTCATTTATAATAAATAGTTTTTGGAGCGGCAGTAAGATTTTAAGAAGTATATTTCCGGTATTTCTCGGGCTCCCACTATTGTTTGCATTACGTGGAATTGCGAAGAGTTAAAGGTGAGTGACGTCACGAGGACAGTAGTTGAATTCCATCATGGTTTTGTTTTATTGGCCAAAATACCAAAAAATAGGTACCATGTAGGTTGTACCCTTAGTACCAAAAGATAAACCCTGTCCCAGATTTTATGCCGCGACGTGGGTATATATATAATCTGCGTTTGCTGGTGATTAAGTAATATTAAATTTGTTTTATTATTTTTAATAATCTTTAGTATTCAGGTTAGTTTTTTTTTAGTTTCAGATGTGAACCGTGTCACCTCGATGACGGACGTTTTGACCAAAATAGTTAATAATTATTATGCATTATATACATTGTCAAATTAAAATTTTATTGTCACAGTTACTCTCTCTTACATTAAGCAGAATTAAGCAATTCAAAGAATTGGGGTGCAGATTTAAACATAACGTTGATCTATTGGTTATATTAAATATAACTGGGGCGTAGGTGAACTGTTTATTAGTTGCGTGCAAAGTAGTTGTTTGCTTATGCCAGAAAAATTATCTCATTAGACAGTCTACTAACAAAATATGGCTAACGCACGGTGTACGAACGGAATAACCGTCTGCGGCGGGAAACCCCAGATTTGTGTCGCCTTGATTTCATTGCCACTCTGGTAAATCACAAGGACTGACGCAATTCCAAGTAGGTGTTTACATTTGCCGACTTTTTTAAACTGGGTGAAACAACAAGATTGGAAACAACTATGGAATATTTAACATATGTCATGTATCATATATCAGACCAGACACTTTAGAACACAAAAATATATTTGAACTAACCAAAACTGCACTGCAAATTGAGTAATTCATTTTTTTTTACCAAAAATATAAGTACACTCTAGTACAAAAAGTCATGACCTTTTAAAAGTGATGATAGATATGTAAAGGTAAGATTGAAATTAAGAAAGAATTTCCTAAAACGAATCATTTTATACACAAGTTTCTAGTAACTTTTTACGTCTAAAATACTTAAAAAATCACTCTGTGAAATATCGGATAATTACTAAGTAACAAACGCTTTTGTTAATAAAATACAGAGGTATAATTTATTAATGTTTTACTTACGTCTTCCATGTACTCCGTAACGTCGTAAACATTATTTTTGTAGACAATCCAAACACTGGCTTGGATTTCACCGTCGTGGTTTTTGATTTCTTCCCAAGTATAATATTTGGTTTCTGTTTGTTGGGCCATTGTTGCACGATAGGAAGTTGATAACCCGCGAGCTTGATTGTCACGCGAACGGCGTCTATCAAATGGTGAATTTTGTTATTTATATAGGGTATTTATCGGTTTCTTTCGACGGCAGTGGCGTGCGCTATTATCACTGACGTCACCACTCAATGAGATAAACCCAAGTGCGCGATCTGTTTTCTACTACCTGAAAACTTGACGGGTTCCTAAATATTTATAAAAATATGTTTAACGATTTTAAGATATTAAAAAATTACAAGATCAATAAACTTGTTCTTGCTATTTTTTTGTTTTCATTTTAGGCGTTTTATAGTAATTCTAATTACGTGGTAATATAAAAAAATAAAAGTAATGTTAATTAGGGTAAGTGTAATGATAATCAGTGGTAATTATGGTAATTGAAGGGAATTTTGGAAGTCTGAGTCTGAAGATATGTCCAGAGATATCGGGAACTAACCTAACTAACCAAAATTAAAACGTTCAGATTGCTAATTTCAATGCGTTTTTTAGATCAGCTGTTTTAAAATTTGAGCGTTTTATCATATCTGGAATATATGCCAGAATTTATAAAAAGTTTTTTAGCGTTTTTTAGTTGCCGCAATGATAATAGAAATAGGATATAATTTAACTGATACATAGTGGTAATTTTTATTGTAATTAGATGTCACTTCCGATAGAAGTGGTAATTTTGTGTACACAGATGGACGACTAAAATTCCTCTCGGTATTTATGCATCTATTAGAACAGAAAAATGTAACAGGACTTGCAATGGTGGAAATGCCATCCGTCAAATAATATACAGTCTAATAAAAAGGCGAGCTTTGACAGAAAATTGAATTTGGGGAAGTTTCTACACATCCAATCAAGTACGAACTCGAAATATTCGGATTCAGGTCTGTGCTGACTTGGACTTTCCATTCGTTAAACTTTTGACAGGCTTGCGTGTGTTGTATCAAGTTATATTTTGTTTACTTCAAGTTTGCTTTCCTTGTATATTGGCCATTGGCACATCACATGTATTTATTACGGAGCAATAGAATAATATTGTTGAAAAAATGTTGCAATTTTTTTGCGAACTGAACTGTATATTAATTTTTCAAAGAAACTTCCACAGGCCACTGTAATGCTTTTTACAAAACTTCCGGATTCCTCCTGCGTCGGTTTTTGCTTAGTCGAAATTGCTGACGTTTCGCCAATCGACTTCTTCGCAGCTTGACTGAAACTGGTTCGTATTTTACTCTGTACCTGCTTATTTATTGCTTGAGGGGCGGGGGGCGCTAATGAGGGCTATAAACACCGTCTCGGATGACTGATTCCCATGTTGGTGATAGCTAGAGACCCGAGTCGCGGTTAAGATTGTTAGGTTGCTTATAGATTTCTATAGACTCTCGGATTTTTCGTTGGTAGAGGAACTAAGCCAAAAAATTGTTTAATGATCAATGTCTTTTGAATTCCGAAAACAAAACGCCGGATTTTTTTATTGATACAGACGGGGAAACAGTTACTAATATGACTTCGGCTGCAAATTGTTTTAACAATTTTTTCGTCGATTCAGCCCATAGTTTAAAAAATATGTTTTCACCACATAAAAATTCGATCTCGCTAAATGTAACTCTTGCAGAGTGCATGTATTTATGTACAGAAGTTAGTAATATAATTTTGTCTGTCACTAAGAAGTATTCAGCGGGTTCGGACGGCACTCCCTGCGCTGTGTTAAGCCATTTGGTCGACACTATTGCAGGGCCGATGACATATCTCATTAATTATTCCTTTGTGCATGGATCCTTTCCCAGCATTCTAAAAAATGCGGTAATCACACCACCCTATAAAAAAACACGGTGCAGTAATTATTTCAAATTATAGAGCTATAGCACTCCTATCCGTTTTTTCAAAAATCTTCGAAAAAGCACTGCATTTAAGACTTTCTAATTTTTTCCGGCATGCAATTTGGTTTTCGAAAAAAACGATCTACGCAGGACGCCATTCTCTCTTTATATAAGCATATTCTTCCCCAGTTAGAAGAAAGGCAGCAGACGGCATGTGTTTTGTTCGATCTTCAAAGAGGATTTGACTTGGTCGATGTTGATATTTTAGTGGACAAGCTTTGTTCATATGGTATTAGAGGTAACGCCTTAAATTGGTTAAGGTCTTTTCTTGGGGGTCGTACGCAGTTGGTCAAATTGAGAGATACCTTAGGATTTGAATACGTCCCTGATTCCAGGTCAGTGAATTGTGGTGTACCTCAGGGAAGTTTACTCGGTCCTTTATTGTTTATAGTGTTTATAAATGATGTATTTTCATCTTTCCCCCATACTTACTTTTCCCTTTTTGCGGATGATGCAGTTTCTACCCTTTCTGCAGCATCGTCTGAGCAACTTAGCATTGCAACCAAGAAAACGGTTGAGCAAATGAAACATTATGTAGAAATTAACAATTTTATATTGAATAAAAGTAAAACTGAGATGATCGCCTTTTCAACACGGGATCTAAATAAGGGTTTATTATTACGCTTTAATGAAAGCACAATTCAACAGAAAAGTGTTGTAAAATTCCTCGGAGTTTATGTAGACTCGAGACTCTCCTGGTTCGAACAGGTGGACCACATTCTCAGAAAACTTTCTGTTTACTGCTTTGTCATGTGGAGGCTCCGCCATCAGGTTTCTTTCCCTTGTTAAAAATGTACTATTTTTCGTATGTCTATTCGTGTCTCAACTACGCCTTGGTTTGTTGGGGAGGTTCTCCACGTGCGGAGCAAGTCTTTAGGATGCAGAAACGCATTTTAAGGACTATACTGTTTAAGCCCTGGAATTTTTCATGTCGGAACCTATTTCCACAACACTCTTTATTGACACTTCCTAATATGTACATACTAAATTGTGCCACGTATGTAAAAAGTAACTTTAATCTTTATATGCCCTCAAGAAACTCAGATATTCAGTACGGTTTAAGACCGAATCTTAACAAAAAAAAAACATATCGCCTGTCTCTTACAGCAAATAGTCCCTTTGTTTTGACTGTAAAAATTGCCTATCGAACTGAAGGAGATAACTAGTCAAACAAAATTCAAATGCACTCTTAAAGACAAAATGCTACGCCTCGCGTATTACAATGTTAATGATTTTCTTTGTTGTGATACCTTTTAATACGTATTCGTTGTTTGTTATTGTTTGTATATTTGTTATTTATCCATCAGTATTACTTATTATTATTATTATTAATTTACTAATTATACTAAGATAATTTTATACTTTTACATTACGCTGACAATATCCAACACGTGTAAATCAAGTCTTATGGAAATAAAGCTATCTTTATCTTTAACTGATTACATGCAAGAATTTTAGTTTTATCAAATAAAATTGTATGCCCGGTTTCATGAGTGTTTCATGTGTTCGGCAACAGCTGATGAGTTTATTTGTCTCAGTCGTAAGGCTCTTTCGTGTTCTTTGAGCCTAGTTGATATTTTGCTGTAAACTCCTGGCGTCTCAAATGGAATTCGGTCTTTGACGGACCGCAGATGTTGAGAGATTTTTGGACAAGAGGTAAATCTGGTTTTGACGTTATACTTCTTTAGAACTTCAGTCAGTCAGTCAGTGATGATTTGAATGTAAGGAAGGACCACAGTGGCAAGTGTAGGATTGCTTTCGGCCTCATTGGTATTGGCAGGTTGTGGTAAAGTGTATTTTTTGATTGAACGTTTAATATCTTTATTGCTATTAGAGTAAAATACGCACCAGTTTCAGTCAAGCTCTGAAGAAGCCAACAGGATGATTGACGAAACGTCAGCAATTTCGACTAAGCAAAAACAGACGCAGGAAGAATCCAGAAGTTTTGTAAAAAGCGTATGAACTGTATATTATTATTAATCTGACATATTATGTTTTTGCTACTGCCCAAAAAAGAAAGTAAATTTGCCAGGTAAAATAATAATGATAATGATAATAAAGGTATTGTCATTAGTGCACAGACTAGTGCAATGTCATTTCGCGTGTATAAAACACTCAAGGGAAAACCCAGTCTTCAATTCAATTTAATCCTGCATAATTTTAATTTTCAAGTGAAACTTGAAACTTAATTGATTATTCGTTTATCAGCAACTGTAAGAAAACTTAAAATTACAGATATTAAAACCCTTGATACGCATACGAAATCGAAACCCGGATAAATTCCAGACGATTTAACTTTCGAACGCGAAAGAGCTATCTCCCGTCTTTCCACCGTTGGCGTATTTTCTATTTCCTTTAATTTCCACTTGAAGTTGGCGATTTAACTTCGGAATTCATTAATTCGATCAGAGCGAACAATTTCATTTCCATCAACTTGTTTTGACAGTCGCTTTATTAACGGTCCATTATTTATTATTTGAAGCCGAATGAGTTTGTTTTACTCGTTCAGGATCCGTTTGACTGTCAACTTTTAACGTTCATTGCCGATGTATGAAACAGGCTTGATGCGGCGAAGCGATTGACGATTGTCATTTTTTAAATTGGTTGTGTATGTTGAGGAAGAAGGGTGATCATGTTTTCGAATCTCTTTTTCACATATGATCCAATCCTTTCACTTAATAAAGGTCGATAATCTAAATCAAAGTAAATATTTTGTTTGTGAATACGGAATCATTTTTCGCGTTATTCGAATTGATGTAGTTACAAATACAAATGAAGTTCTGAATTGTCATTAAATTAAACTTTTATTGAACATTCAAAGTTGAATTATAAATAGCACTTATTTTTTTAGACACGAACAGAGACTGCGGACTGCGGAGCAGAGAGCGAATTTCTGGGTACATTTTTGCGGAACAGCACGAATGCATTCACGGAGTGATCCGATCACTCCCAAATCACGCGAGTAACATTCTGGGAATGTCTGAAGTGGCTCGCAGCGGTAGGTAAGGGTAAGTAATTATAAGAACGTATTTCCTACTACTTTTTACCCATTTCGTCAGTATTTATTAAAAAAATCGAGAGAATAGTAATTAATTAAACGGTCAAAGTAGTTTGCCGCAGACTTAAATGATTTTTTTTTTGACGTCTGCAATTTACTTAAGCCTGAATGAAACGTAAGCATTGATAACAGTGACTT